CTAAACGTAATTGTTCGAGCATAGTCCTTACAAAGTTTAGGTACTTCTTTGGTATGTCATATCCCGTCAATAAAACATATCCACAAATGGAGTTGAATTCAAGTGAAGAAATACACTTGTGGTCAGGAGTTTTTGCCCATCTTTCAAAACGAAGAATGAATATTTAATTTACACATTCAGATCCAGTTCCGGAACAAAGCTAGTTTTCTTGGATTCGTTATAAGCGAGCTCCAGTTAGGCGTCGAATTATGGAAAGCTAATATATTAGACATGACATTAGTGGGATTGATTTTTCTGTAGTTATAAAAAGATGTTTACTTTCCTGTATAAACTTAGACAACTAGTCCGATGGAATTAAATTCAGCTCCCCAATTCTAACTAATAACTCCATCGACCCTATTTTTAATACTTGACCACCATTATCTGATAGACCATTGGAAATAACCCGCCAATGCTACCCAGAATTGTAGCACTTATTTAAAAGCTAAAAATCACTAACACAATTTGTCACTCAGTCTTCAGTAATATCATATAATCGTAACACTACGGAGAGGATTCCTCGGGGTACTGTGTGTATTACAAGGCGATACGATAGCATCTCGAGAGAAAATATGGGATCTACTTGCCTTCAAAACTTCTGAATAAATATTGAAAATGAAATTAAAGCTGCCAATATCAGCTCCTTAAGCAATCAAAGTGATCTAGTCAGTTGGCTGAAGTTACGAATTTAAACCTATGAGTGCCGATTAAGCGCTCGCCACAAGACCTAAATAAACTGGGTTCTATCCTTATTGGGGTCGTAAGTACATACTGTTAAGGATTCCTATAGTATAACGAAAGATTCATTTAAAACTTTTTAGATTTCAATAGTAGTCTAACTAAGGTCAATCCATACATACATTCCATGAATTCATTCCTTCGCTCTCAGAACACAGCGGTTTTTTACTGCTATTAATACTAGTATTATTTATCTTGATAGTATCTCATATATCCCACTGTCCTGATGTGAAGCATAGCAATCCAAACAGAAACATATTTGTCAGTAGAAGAGATTAGAGGGAAGGTAATGGTTTCGGAAAACAAGAGATTATGATCATGGTAGAATAAGTGGTTGGACAAGTCTCTTTAGTATACATAGTTCTGTCAAATGCTTCGGCAATGAAAGAGGACGAAAGCTCAGTCTTTGATGGATTTTTATCTACCTTGTGTACGATTTGAACGCTGTGTTTTTCTTGATCGAACAAACTGCGTTCAAATGCTAATCGATTATGGAGACCTTTACCGACACATTTCCGATCTTTTGGGGCCAAGCTAAAAAAATGCTCCTGGATAGAATGAGCAGTGAACTACTTGCATAACTAGATTCATAAGAGCATGTGGACTGTTAATTAAGCGCACACGTGGTAAGATCAAAGAGTTTATCATTTAAGCTTTTCCTGAACATCAGTTCGCTGAATAATACTAATCACTAAAATTCTGATGACGTCCTTTTGAGAGAGAGAAATTATTCTTTGTAAGATGAATGGCGCTTCGTCGCCTTTGAAAATGATTTAAAAGATTTACTTCGATGGGGAAGCTACTTGTACTTTTAGAGGTTTCAATTTTATAATTTTGTCAATAAGTCATGGAGGATATCTATTTTGACAATAACGTTTCATATGATGTTCATATCATGTGAAATCAGGACTGAGAATCGTTCAAATTTATACAGCAGGAGACGGTGAGACCCCCCCCCCGCTTACCATTGCCGACGCACTTGTTGCACATCTATAAAAATCAGAACTACATATAAGAAAGGAATTTATTCAATCTTTTTTTAACCATGGTTTTAATTTCTCGTTTCCCAAGGTCACCCCCTCATATCTCCTTTTCTAATAGCCTTTTACTCCGTAATGATTTACTTCTGCCTCCACACTTTTCTGTGATTATGCTTACTTCAAAATTTGTTTTGTTTTATCACGTTAAGCAACCCTTCTTCACAATTATTTATCTTTATCTATTTTTCTGATAAATTTACACGTTTTCAACACCTCATTTTTATAGAGTTGAGATCATGAGTCAATTGAAGCTAGAACACCAAGGAAAAATCTAGAGTTCTAGTGAGAAGCAGTAACTAGTGGAGTTCAACCAGGTCTATTGGGAGATATCAACTCACTGATGGCATTGGTGAATGGTTACTCAATTTTGTGGATTGGTTGTAGTTAGACATTAACACCGTTGGATACCAGCCGGCTCAGTGGTCTAGAGGTTAAGTGCTCTGGCGCGAAACTGGTAGGTCATGGGTTCGAAACTCGCTAGGCGGTATCGTGGATGAGCACTGCTGAGGAGTCCCACGATAGGATGGAACGGCCGTCCAGTGCTTTCAAGTTTTCCATGATGGTCTAGCTTTAATTGACTCATGATCTCAACTCTATAAAAATTACTAAATCTAAACAAAACCCCTTCTGATAATTACATTTTTACTTTCTAAATAAGAATAACATTTCATTATTTTTGTTTAATTCACCTCTCTGTTATCATGTTTAGAGAACTTATTACCATAACTATCATTATTATTAACAGGTAGTTTTATTCATTATCATTCTGAAAAAAAAGCTAGTATACATTTTCGAGAGTGAAGCTTTAAAGAATGAATATGCCGAAGAGAAAACTCTGCTGAAACAATCTTTGAAATTTTGTATTTCAATGAATATATATTTCGTTTACATCTATATTCGTGCCAATATCTATGCTATGACTGACTGGAACTATAATGCACTTTGATTAACAATAAAGGAAAATTAAATAGGTGAATACTATACTCCTACCTTTAACAGATGAATTACGAAACATTGTTTGAATGTTATCTTTAAACGGTAACTACTGCATAATATGCTGATGACAATACAATTCCCTCATTTAGCACTTCAAGCATAAGACAATATTGATTACTTCACAGTTGTCCCACCTCCTTGGAATGGTCGGATAAATAAGGAACTAAGAAAATAAGAGGTGTAAGAACACAATAATAATAATAATATGTTGCATATAGCTGTTGTTATTCTTATCATTAGTCAGTCAAATGAAATCAAAAAAAATAAAAAGTAAATTGAAGATATTAAAAAAGAAACAGGAACTCGACCATAAGGAATGTGAAAAGGTGGGCACGCGCACACACACACACGCATAATATGAGCAGAAACAGATCCATAAATACAGACGGTTAGAGATCAAAATGAAAATATATTATTTCTGTTTTCAATTGAGACTACAACTTGGACACAATTTATTCGATTCAATTTTATTATCGATAAGTTGTTAATGATAATACTGTTAACAATACGAAAGATAATAATAATGATCGGGGAATCTGTAGTGTGATGTAGTATCTGAGAAAGAGAAAGAAAGAGAGGAATGAATAAGATGACGATGACAGATGGATACGCACTGACATTCTCTAAATATATAATACAATAATGACAAAGTCTAATTAGCATATATCAAAAAATCAACGCTTTTTTACCAGAGAAAAACAAAGGTGAATAATTTAACAATAGTCAAGTGAATGAATTACATTAACCAGTATAATGATAAGAATCAGATTACAAGATAAAGCATACCTATACATTAGACACCTAGAAAACTGATCATCAAAGTAAAAACATGCAAAGTGAATATAAAAACAACGTACACTTACACACACACACATACACTAACATGATCATCATTATGAAATAAATACACTACACTAGAATATATAGCATACGGTACATAAACATAAACTGTAATGATCTGTATTGGGAAACACCAATTAGTGACACACAGAATAAGAAATGTATTCATCTTACTTTTATTACACAAGCTATAAACACACACACACACACAGACATACACACACCGATGAATAAGATGTATAGCACGCATTTTAGTCATTTACAACAGAGATAAAATTCACATAATTTCGCATTTGTGATTTTGTTAATCAGAATTATCTAACAAACAAACGATTAGTTGTTATAACAAAACACTATACTGAACGTTTATAGGAGGACTGGGAACATGAACGAGAAAGTAAACTCAAGAAAAATATCTCTCTCATTAAAAAAAAAAACGAAGTAAACAAATAAAATAAAAAAAGAACAAGAGAATAACAATTCAGTTAAGAATTAAAATATATACGCCTAGGATATTGTAAATTTTGAAAAGGAGTCAAAGCGACAGTAGTCAATTTGTAAATAGACGTAGTAGTGCAAAGTAGAGGTAACCAGCTCAGTAATATGAAGACAGGTCATTTTTAAGATTCATACATACACAGACTGACAGATAGAGACAATTATAGAAATAGTCAAAAATTATAAATTGGATCTTTTTCAATATTGATAAAATCAATAATAATAATGATAATAATAATATTATGTAATAATTCTTTCGGAATGTTACCCAATGATTGTCATATACGATTGATCTAAAAAGGAAATGAGATTTTACGAAATTCAACATACATACACACACACATACACATTGTTGAAGTCGTTTACATATTACAACTGTATTGAAAGAGTAAAATATGAATTGATTGATATTGATTAAAATGACTGATTTGGAAGTATTCTATTCAGAGGATTTATTATTATTATTATTACCAGTGAAATATACGGGGAAAGAAGGAACACACTTGTACAATGAACGGAAACCGCTAATGATTATGATGATGTTGATGATAATGACATAACAATAATAAGTGAAATTGATCATTTTCGAAAGAAAACTACTACTACTACTACTACTTAAGAGGAAGAATACAATGAGAAAAAAAAACGGAAAATAAAATAAAATGCTGTATCGCTGAAATTTGCTTCGTTTCCTCTCCCCCCCCCCAATATACACACACACTACTCTAATGCCATAATAGGTTTTTCAAAAAACAAAAGGAGAATAGCATCTATCACCGACAATGAAATCAAAATTACTCAGTAAAGAAAGTATGGAATTATTATAATATTTTTTTTCTTTCTATTTACTCAAAAGGGATTGAAATTGGACAATTGATAACGAGTAGTAGAATCATTAGTATGACCCAGTTGTCCAAGCATTCCATTCTGTATGCCAAAAAAGAGAGAGAAAACAAAAACAACAGAAAGTCAGAATTCTAGGTACAGTAAATGTTTAATCGTGATATAAGTGTTAAACAAGTTCATTATACAATACAACAAACTACAGAATGAACAAGGATTAATTTTTTAAAATAATTCTCCCATTTGGAAATGTTTATCTTCTATTGAAATCAGAGCAAAAATCATGACAAAACGCATGAGTTTACAACTCAGAATTTCTTTTCGTATTATCTATTGATTTAAAACAAGGAGCGATTTTCAGAAGCACAACTTCAATTGACATTTCATTTTATTTAAACACATAAATATTAGTACAAGGAGGAACAAGACATATATGCGACATAAAAAGATTGTCATTTCATTTTCATTGTGTGACGAATATGATACTGGCCGGGTGGCCAGACCGAAGCACGTGGTTTTCTTAGGGGGCCACACCCGGAGTCTTTGACCTAAGTCAGTCAGTCAGTCAGCTACAACGTAGGACCAGGCACATTTATGCATCGGTCCAAGTTGCCATACCTCGTTAGCACAACAAGATGAACACCGGGTTCATAGAAGTAATTAATTTAGTGGTGGTAGTAGTATATAAATTATAGGTTGTATATAAGGATATAATACAGGAAGGAGGAGAGATATGAAGCAATTTTAGTCTCAAGGTTTAAAGGAAGATAAAGAGTGTATACACCTACGCCATTGTGATCGATTCTGAGCCATGTCACACAGAGTCTCCAACCATTGGTTACGATAGTCACACGGACCCCAACCAGGTAGTCTGCATCTGCCAACATGGCTCAGACTAGAAGTTAGTGACTTCAAACACTGATGCCACGTTTTTGCTTGGCCACCCCTAACTCTCTTCCAACAATCCCCTACACTAGTCATCATAGCACATCGTGGTAATTGGTGTTCAGGCATACGTAACACGCGGCCCAACGATCTCAGTCGATATAGATTCATGACCTCATCAACTGATTTACCATCATTCCCTAATATCCTGTATCTAAACCTCACTATCACTTACCCGGTTATCCCAGCAGATGCGAGCAATATTTCTAAGGCATCTGTGGTCAAATACTAGTAACCTACGAGTATCTTCTACTCTTAATGGCCATGTTTTACAACCATAAAGTAGAACAGAGCGAACTGCTGCGCAGTATACTCGTCCCTTAATTGATAGACGGATATCTCGTCTTCGCCATAGGTGACGTAAGTTGGCAAAAGCCAAACGAGCTTTTCGAATCCGTGCTGAGATTTCGTCAGACACCAACCCATTAGGGCTGATCAGGCTTTCAAGATAAGTGAAGTTGTCCACGCGTTCGACTACTTCTCTCCCTATCCTTAGTTCAGGTATTGATGCAGGCCAGTCCTGGAGTAACAATTTACATTTGGATGGGGAGAATCGCATCCCAAACATTCTGGCATTATTACTGAGTTCCAACAGAAGACTCTGCATTTTGCCAGCGTCTTCACCAAACAGGACTATGTCATCTGCGTATTCTAAGTCGCTTAGTGGTCCCCCTGGTAGGAGATCAATTCCTGTAAATTCAGTCGAAGACTGTTATTTCCAGCAACAGGTCTATAATGAAGTTAAACAAAAATGGGGATAGTGGACAGCCTTGACGGACACCACTTGAGGTTGTAAAACCATATGACAGTTCGCCATAAGCTCTCACTCGACTGGTAGTGTTCGAGTAAAGAGCCTTCACAAGGTTTATGTACTTCTGAGGTACACCTTTCAATGACAGACACTGCCACAGAACCTCTCGGTCTACAGAGTCAAATGCTGCTTTCAAGTCAAGAAAAACTATCATTGTCGGATGCCGATAAGCGTGTCTGTGCTCTAAAACTTGACGAATGTTGAATATGTGGTCGATACAGCCACGACCAGGTCTGAAGCCAGTCTGATTTTCTCGTGTTTGCAGTTCACGAGTCTTAGTTAAGCGCCTGATAATTATTGAGGCTAGTATTTTAGATGCTATGTTGGTCAGACTAATCCCTCTATGGTTATCGCAGGATGATTTTGACCCCTTTTTCTATATTGGGACAATCAGTGATTGTGACCAGTCGGATGGGATTACATCCGTCTCCCAGATTTTAGCCAGAATATTAGTCAACCTAATCGCTAAAATCGGACCACCATATTTAAAGACTTCTGGAGCCAATCCATCAGGACCAGCTGCTCTTCCTCCTTTCAGATTACCTATAGCCTTTTGAACTTCAAGTAGGGTCGGGGGGCCTACTTCAATGTTCCATTCAGGTTGTCTAGGAATAGTGGGTAGTTGTGCAGTAGCTGAAGGCCAGCTAAACTGCTCCTTAAAGTGTTCCGCCCATCGTTCTAAACGTTTGGGTTGAGAGCAGATAAGGGTTCCGTCTTTTTCGGAGATTGTCTCACTTACACTTGACTTCTTAATTCCGGTTTCTTTTATTAGTCTGAATAGTTGCCTGGTGTTCCCTACAGCCGCTGCCTTTTCCATCTCTTTTGCTTTCGTTGCCCACCACTGCTCACGATCGTTCCTTAGACTTTTAGTTAACCTAGATCTAATTTCTTTACGCTCTTCGTCATGTTCAGAGCCTGATGGGATGAGTTTACGCGAATCCATCAGTGAAATAGACTTAGAAGAAATACATTGGTTTTTTGGAGCCCTATGGTTTAAATGACTAATAGATGTTACTGCTGTTTCCACAGCTGTTCGTATGTCTTTCCAAGCAGCATCTGTGTCAGTCTTGTTTACAGAACTGCCTAGATGTGAACTCAGTTGTTTCTGGAATTCGCATTTGGCTTTCTCGTCCTCCAGTTCAATCCTAATGGGTCTTCTTAGTGTACTTTTCCTGCGTCCATTGAGGCGCAGACAAATGCGCGCTCGTATTAAAGCGTGATCAGAGTCTAAACAAGTATTCCAATACAACAATACAACAATTCCAATACGACAATCTTCTATTGAGCCTCTCCAACGATGACTGATGACAATATGGTCTATTTGAGTCCATCGTTGGTTTGGTGCAGGTGGTCGCCATGTTAGACGATGTCTCTCCTTATGTTTAAAATTAGTGCTTGCTAAAAATAAACGATTGTCTGAGCATAGTTGCAACAGACGATCACCATTATCGGTTCGTTGAGCCGGAATACTAAAACACCCACCTAAATGTCTTTCTGTTTGATTCAAGCTGCCTACCTGGGCATTTAACTCACCCGCTACAACTACTATGTCTGAGCACTTAGTTTTCTGAAGAAGCTCAGAGAGCTCTCTGTAAAAGTCATCTTTCACTTCATCATGGCTGCAGTCAGTGGGAGCATAGGCAGAAACGACGAAAAGGCAACGACGTGTGTCCCTATCCTTCCAAGTGCTATGACTACACCTGCAAGTCCACGAGAACTAGCCAACGGGTCGCCAGATACACGGAGGGTGTATTTCGTTGGCTGTCCATTTTGGCGAGGTGAGGTCAAGTGAATGACCACACTAGGATCCTGTATGCGTGTTTCGAAGACACAGCATACATCAATGGTACGAGATTCTAGAGTTTTAGCTAAGGAGGCCTGTTGACCGATTTGACATAGGGTACGTACGTTGAAGGCTCCAATGTGTAGTTTGGAGCGAGGTTTAAGTAGACCTGGGACAGCGTTTCGCGCACTAGAATCGTTGGCCATGGTGACACTTGAGGAGGAAACCGGAACAGGAAGTTTAGTGTTGAAAGTCAAGGTAGAAGGAATAGTAGGAATTGAAGGAGATTGATTATGAATACGGTGGTCTTGAGTGCTGTTAGAGGTATGAGGGCAGTTATCACTTCCCGGTTGCCCACACCGTGGAAGGGTTCTCCTGGGGGTACCTGAAAAGGAAATTGGGTTAGAAGTGGTCTTAATGACCTGAGAGCGTGACAGCAGTGCCCAAGGGACAACTGCTTGAGGTCGGTCACACACGACCTTTTTGTGGGGGATTTTTGACGTGTTAGCTCCGTTCTTCAAAAAAAACCTTACCGCCGGAGACGGATATCCGTGGGATAAGGCGAGGTGTGCATTTTTAGGGCCGACCTTTTCTAACCCCACCCCTCCTTGTGGGAAGGCAGCATCGCTGTCATGCTGGTTGTCTGAAGGAAACACCTTACTGCCGTCACATCTCTGTACAGTCGACAGTACGACTTCGCCTTCGGACCTTGGGTTTGCTGCTTTTAGTCTCACCGCTCTTCAAACGACCTGTCTGGCATGGTAGGACCTTGAGGAACGATTGTTCCAGCCAGCATAGCTCGATTGCTTCATCACGATAGGCAAGCCCGACCACCACGTCAAGGTAGCAGCAACGGTCGGGCTTTGACCTAAAGGTCTAATCCACAAGGCAGTGGAGCATTGTAAGGCGATACAGTCACATGGTAGCCGGTGACCAACGATTGGTTCATACGCCATTTGTTCCCTCAGGATACTGGAGCCCATGAGCACCATTGGTTTGGAATAAGGGTTTTCCAACTCCCCTAGGTGAACTCGCAGTGTCCACCAGCCCCCAAATGCCCTGGTACGGTCGAGAGTGAAGAGAGTCTACTCTCCCTCTCGAAATGCTCTCACATGGCCAGCGAATGTATAGTCTCTGCCAGGGAAGTCCTACTCACTGCCTTCTCGTGGCATTACTGTTGTTTACGAAATTGAGAGGACGAAAAGCAAATGCCCGGCGCTTCACCCGGGTTGGTGGACAAGGCGAGTCCACCTAGGGGAGTTGGAAAACCCTGATTCCAAACCAATGGTGCATATGGGCTCCAGTATCCTGATGAAACAAACGGAGTATGAACCAATTGTTAGTCATTGACTACCATGGGACTGCATCTCCTCACAATGCTCCACTACCTTGTGGATAAGATCTTTAGGTTAAAGGCTCCGGGTGCGGGCCCCCAAGAAAACCACCTGCTTCAGTTCGGGCACCTGGGCAGTATCACAGCCCTCAAGCAAATCGAATGAGATTTGTATGGCGCATATGTATCTGGTGCTTCCTCTGAATTTCGTAAACAACAGTAATGCCACTGTGAGAAGGCAGTGAGTAAGACTTCCCTGGCAGAGGCTGTATACGCGTGGCCGTGTGAGAGCATTTCGAGAGAGAGGACAGGACCTCCCAACTCTCGACCGTACCAGGACCGAAATATCTTGATTATTACATATAACTTCCACACAGAATGTTATTTACTATTATTGAACAAGAGATATTTGAGAGTAAAGCGAGAAGTACAAAGTAAAAAAAATACATACGAAAGTGATCCCTTAAGAAAATTCATAAATGATCGATGTGAATTCGATGTCATGTAGACACTCTGTTCATGTAGAAAGATTTATAAGATCGTCAATAATAATCCAGCGTTTTTTGGAAAATCTTTCTAGAAGAAATATTCTTTTATGATATAAAGTGAGTCAGAAAGTGTTGACTGCCAACGCATATTCAGGAGCAATAGATTTCACCGTCGTATCCTCTATCTTCCTAAATTTACATCTCTTGATATTTCTAGACTATATATATATATAATCACAAAGGAAATATCAATTTGATGTAACGTAAAGAAGACTATTCTTAATTTTAAGTTGAATCGTAAATATTTTATTACAGGTTAATCACAATGTTAGCACTATAGAGAGTTCTAAATATCCCACGCTCTGGATAGGGTCAAACTAGAATACGCTGACTGGTCCATTTTCAACCAATTAGTGCTAGTGGACGAGCCTAGATTACAGTAGCAACTAAGAATTTAAACTGATGGCTGACGCCTAGTTACTATGATTGTATTACCATATACTGTTTAAGCAAAATTTTCCTGAATCGTCTAATCCATCTGTTTGGATCTGAATCTACGTGACTAGTACGCAAATGACTTAAACAGTGAACAGAAGTAGTAAGTGGTATGAATTGCTTGAACGGAATACAGTATTAGTATAATGTATACAGATGGTAAAAACGGATTCAACATGTCAAATACAAAAATACATAGACGATACATGACATATTCGAAATATGAATCACTTACCACGGGATTATTCATTTTTGTAAGAAAATTATTAGCTGGGTGTGTAGTGGGTGAGAAAGAACTAGCAGTTACTTGTGAATAATAATGGGCAGATGTAGAGTTCGCTAAGTTAGAAAATGGATTCGCACTAAATGACTGCTGGGCATTTGAAAGGAATGGGTTTTTACTTTCTGGATTGGATAGACTCAAGGTTTCATGAAACTGATTGATACTTGAAGGTACTGCCATAATAGGATAACTTGTGAATGGATTAGGGAATCTGTTAAAATTTGGAGAGTTTTGAACTCCAACTGTTGGATTGGCGAACGGATTAAGGGATTGTAAACTATCCTTGAAAGATGTATTCGCAGACCATCCATGTGTTGTTCCGACAACAGGATTATTGGAATGAGAAATATGAGGTGAAAATGGGGTAACCCATTGACTAGTTGATACACTAGACACATTGGTTTTAGGTAATGTAATATCATTTATACCTTTTTCCATTATTTCTGAATCCATTGATTTAAGTCCGGTATTTTTAAATAAACCATCCAATTCTGCAAGTGCGGCATACTTATCTCCTCCACTTGGACCAGGAAAACCAGACATTGTATTTATTGATGAACTTGGGAAAATATTTGATATGGTTGAATTTATGTTAGAAGGAAATGATTTAACTGTTGAATTATTATTTATAGAATTAAGGACATTAGGACAGAAATTTGCGAAGAGATCAGATTGCGTAGTAGTAGTTGTTGTTGTTGTGGTGGTGGTGATTGTAACAGTAACAAGATTTGAAAAAGAAGAGGTTGGAGTGGAAAAAGAAGCGAATGGATCAATGGTCGTTTTATTAAATGCATCCTGTTTTTGACTAGAGATGAAGTGATTCGTGACAGATTGTTGTGGAATCTAAAATTAATGATAAAGTTTCATAAGTCTGCAAAAGAACAAAATGGTACATGTAGTATAAACAAAAAACATTGCAAACCATTCTTGACTTCGGAAAGAGATACTTCACTTTTAAATGACTGCAAGCATGAAACTAGAATACTCAAAACCTAAACGCATAAAATTGATGGTTAAAAAATACGTCCGGTTGTGTTATCACATGGTTAACTGGTCCAGTCGATTCGTCAAACAGCACTAGGCACACGGATCGCCTTTTGTAGCAAGGTATATCTGCGTTTACTGACATCTCCAAGATTCAGTACACTAACACACCATATAAAATAATAACATACAACAAACTTTCCCGATTGCTATATTTCAGCACTGAGGTTAGAGGTAGAGTTGTTTAATCTCGCCATTACTTTTCAACATTTTCATTGATGAGATTCTGGGAACTGTTTTAATGATAACGTGGGTCTGTTACTTGGAGAAGGAGTTTCCAATCTTTATTTGAGAACATTCGGTGGTCTTTTTGTTCGTTCATCGTTGTCTTTGAAGGATTGTCGAAATCCAGGAAACAATTATTTCCGCTTAAACTTGCATTAATTAATTTATTTATTAACTCTGGAAAATGGCTTAGGTTAAGTCACAAAATGTCAGAAACACAATTTTCTACTCATTGGGATATATAAAAAAATGTGTTTATTTATTATTATCTTTTTTGATTGCATTTCAAACTGAACTTGCTCCCCGTAATAGACCACTCTTGTTTATTTGTTATAACTATGGACGCAATTGTTTACTTGCCCCCTGAACAAGGGCTGATACTCCTCGACATAAGAAAAATAAAATTGTAGACCAAGTTTATGATACAGAAACCACAAATTCCTAGCTCATCAACGACTAATTCAAAAACTGTATCGAAGGTACACTGAATCATGTATTATTTACTTATCTAGTCAATAGGTATATTCGAATACATTGAACTACGCAGTAGTTGGTGCAAATTAATCAATAATTTAGTGTATGTATGGAATTCGCAACGCCAATTGAGTTAACTGCACTAACTAACAATATAATATATTATTGAGTTGCATATTTGCTTTGTATTGATAAATGGTGTTTCTACCGGATGTCAACAATCCTTCAGAGACAACGATGATTCAACATAGAGAAGTGACCGAATGTCCTCAGCTAAAAAGTGAGTTTTTCTTCACGTAACAGATCCATATCATCGCGACCCGGTCCTATCAGAGCTGTTTCCAGAATGTCATCAATGACAAAGTTGAAGAAGAACGATGAGACTGGGTAACTCTGCTAAAGATCCAGCTACGTTAAGATTATCTTGCAGATGGCCTCACAAAGACCATTGATAATTAAGTTTGTAAATTTACTAACCAGTTACATGGTTGCATATTGATCATAGATAAATATTAAAAACCCTTTAAACCTCACACCTATAGATATATTCCTGCTCGTTATGATGAAGGCAGTCAGGAATATATAACGTGATATAATTAGTTACATATTAAAACTAACCAAGCTGTCTCCATTGACATTACCAGCTTGTGTTGTTCCGCTGGTTAGATTAGTTTGGGAAGGAAGATTAGTACTTGAACGAGTAGGCAGAACAATAAGTCCAGCAGCTGCATTACCACATGTATTACGTTGGCCTTTCTGATTCATGTTTTTCTCTGATTGTTCAAGCAGTTCTCGATTTTCTTTCAAAGCTTCAGATTCTATCTGCGACGTTGGTTCGCGATACCTAAAACGAAAAAGATCATTAAATTACTGATCTATTGATGCACTGTGGGCAATAATTTGTTTAGAAATAATAAACACTTGTAACAGAAACCTAGATATCAATAATAAAACCAACTTAGCTTGACTATAACATTTACAAACCAAATACTGATTAATGGAGAAATGTGATAATATAACAGTACGTAGAAAATTCGAATAACAGAGAAGGCTGAATGACACTATGTTTCATCACACCGTACTAATGGGATATGGCAGCTTGAACCGGTGCAAATATGTCCAAGGTCCTATGTAGACTATGAATGACCGATTCCTGCTACGCGATTGGGGAATATCAACACAATAATTCGCAATATGTAGAGTATTTGGTGCACGCAATCCAATTACTACTCAAAACTATGTCCTCAAAGCTCTTGACCCAGGTACCAACTGGTAAAGAAGACAAAATGTCCACTGTAAAGAATATACACCAGAGGAAAAAATTACTTAAACCTGCTAACTCTCATGGGGCATGGGTCGCCATCCAGGAGGTAAAAATGCCAGCCCTTTATATACGGATTCATTTTGTAACGATTGTTAAATAATTAGGTTAGATATCATTATTAATCTCCCCTATACATGATTCATTTACTTAGCATTGATCCCTCCTTATTATGTCTTACTAATTTTTCACACAATTTAGTCTTCCACTCGATCGAATTGTAATTGCACTATCATATCTCTCACCCTATCTGACCCATATTTATTCTGATCAGAGATCTTAAATTTCAATTTAACATCTATACAGATTCAAGTTAACTTTCTATATGAATCATACCAACATTAACAATTTTATTCTATGAATAATCACAACACTGGACAGTGTTGACTTTTTATTGTTAGAAGTCAAACATATTGAATACGAAGTAACATATACCTTTCCCGTGGAGTTTCATTACCAGTGAACTTTGAAGTATAGATACAACCTTATAGAACATTTTAAAAAGTTACCATGGACTCAGGTGTCAGAAAAATCGATTAAAGTACAAACAACTTATTGACTAGTTTCAGTTGATACACTTTAATTAATTAGTTTATTTTCAGGCACTTTAAGTACAAATAAACACTCACTATGTAGGAAATCGATGTGTTATGTAGCCATGTGAAGGCATACTAATTAAGTCGTCAAAACTTGAAATTAATCTCGGCTGCAGTGTCTTTCAATACGTTTTTGGTATAATTCACTTCTAATCACTGTCAATTTCCTTTTCCGTAGTTAACGTTAGCAATCTAAAGTTCGTAAAAGCGATTCTCTTGTGTTTTTTTAAGGCCTTAAACGTGAAATCAAAAAAAATTACATATCACACTAAACGTTAAATTAGATATATGACTTTATTAGTTCAAGCTCTGTGATCTGAAAAGCTGGAATTGACCACTTCTTAGCTTTTGTCACTCAGTCTTAACGTCGGGAAGTAACGTACAGAATGGGAGCTACATCTGCAAAATTTCTTTACGCGATCGAAACCGAAAGCTGTTGAAAGGCATTACAGCATAGTAAGCTAATTGAATCTTTTATTACCTACCTGTTGTAATTTAAACAGTTAACCTACTATGTAAACGTATGTGTGAATCCGATTAAACACATTTCTGAACCTTAACCTTTATCTATCTTTTCATTAGTTGAAAACACAGACAATCAAAAACTTACAATTGATTAAGGTTCATGAAATAAATATAGATATTCCGACTTTTTGATTGCACACCCATTCCCAAGTGTGCTTACTTGTGGATTTTATTAATTATTAACAATACACTCAACAACTGGTGTTTTGGCTTTTTAACATTTTGAGATATTCATAGTACTAATAAGAGAACTGGCCTACTAAAATAGTCAGTTAACGGAACAACATATATTGGAGTCAAATGGAGAAAAACTAACCCTTAAAACAGTTTATACAGTTAGAAAGTGACTACTGAATGCGAAAGATACACAAATGTTTTTTTAATCCGACTGCGGATGCTTTTGGAGTTTTGTCGAAATGTATTAGTATCAGTGGGTGGGAAAAATTGTAGTCAAGTGTAGCGTTAAGTCAGTCGCAAAATAGAACCTGGTATGTAAGTGCAACAGTTCAAGTTGCCATAATCCACTAGCACAACAAGATATTATTGTCATGCCAAATCCCACAGTATTAGGAGTAATCACAGTATTAGTGATAATAGGAAAAATGAGGGATCGAAGATGCGATTTAAGAAAATATAAATTAGTAAAGTAAGAACAGAAAAAATCACGAGGAATTCAGAAGCTGAAAATTTAGAGAAAGATATAGAATGGATGAACCTGTGCCACCACAAACGATTCTGAACCATGTCACTCAAAGTCTCTAACCACTGGTTAGGATAATTATCCGGACCCCAACCAGTCAGTCTACATCTATTAACATGGTTTAGTTTGATTCTCAATGACTTCATGAACAGATGCTATTGGAAAGCCCACCAGCTTCGTTAGGTAAATGACGTATCTGACCTGATTAATTTATGAATGAAAATAATAGTTAAAATTTACGTGGTTTATGGACATCAGCAACTGTTTGTTAGACCAAAGTATCTATTTTTCAGAACTGATACTGATCAAAGACATGAAGTTATGGGAAAAAATTTAGCAGTTGATATTTGTTTTCTGAAGATAAAATCCCAAGTATAATACAAGTATTTGTCTATCCTTAGACTCGTTTTCAGAATAATATAGTCCTTTGCCATATGATAGTTTAGTTTTCAAAGAAAGCTTTATGCCTTTCGGCAACAAATATAATGTAAAAATTGAAATTAAATTATTCGTAAGCAGGGAATATGGTTTTTTTTATAGACCCGTATTGTAATCCCCCTTATACTTACAGGATCATTAATCTTACCACTTATTGAATATACGTACTGGACTTTGAGTCGGAAATACTCCGGGTTAAAGTACTTTTTTGTTTCATAAGTCGGTCATTAGAAAGTGTAATATAATCTGCGGTTGAATAGTTGGAAATCGAGCGTTTACAGAGCTGAATCATACCACATCGAACCAAACACTATGGTCATTCACTAAGTACTTGTCTACGAACGATACCCAAAGTGTTGGGACCAGTGGTACTATTCAGTCGACCAAACTTAAACAGAGGTTGGGGTTCGAACCCAGGACTTAGTGGCCGGAATTCGGATGCCCTAGCCATTAAGCCAACGTTCAACAAACTAAAGTTATCACTGAGTTATTCGGGCAGCAAAGAATAAAACAGTCGAGTAAATAAATTTGTTCTTTACCTGGAAAACTAGTACAATCTCTATGGATACTTCCAAGAAAACTAACACGCTGAATGACATCGAGCTGCCTCATCAGCAAAAGACGTGCAATTATGATAACCAGAACGGTAACACTGGCACTATTTGAGTATCAGTTTTACTCACTAATAATTGAAAAGTGTAGTATTATTCTCTTGCAAAATAAATATGACTTTAGTGCAAAAATTTGACTTGTCGGAATTTAACAGGGAATGTATCTGATCAACTTGAGTATTGGGGAAGCATATTATACGTACAAAACTAGGTATGCAAAAAATGTGATAGAATAGACCCAAAGATTACTTCACAATTCTGGTATTGATTTGTGATTATAAAACAGGAAAGTTCATTTCATGTTGTTTCATGGCTATAAAACAGTCTATAAAGGGACGAAATAGGAATAAACTAGTACCGTCCAATTACAGATGTCCTTGAAGTATAGCTCAATCATGATGAGACATTGCAGTGAGCAGTACTGAGATTATATATATATACATATACATATATATATATATATATATATATCGTTGTATATGACTAAAAGACTGGCAAAAACTATGGTTTAATCCTAAATCTTTGAATCATCAAAAACTAAAACAACTGAAGAGTATCACATACGCAAAACCACCACTTATCTTGTTGCTTGCTCGTTAGTACACAGGTAGGCTGTAAATCTACAGTTAGACATACACTACACCAAGTGAGGTGATGGATGGTTAAAGCTGGATTTACGTCCGAGTATAATTGTTAATCACTGATTTAGATGTTTAGCCTGATACTGCTTTATATTAATTACGGTGCTATCTCATTTCTTTGAACCATAATTTTGGTATCCAGTTGTCCATTATAATTTCTATAACCTTCGATTTTCACCTCGTCACTATCTTATCTTTATCCTGAAAAGAATTTGGATCGGTCAATGTTTATCCACCATTAAGTTATGACCGAAAAACCAGCCGATATTTATGGGCAGAACTCAGGCATGTAAAATATTGGTGGCGGCTTCAATAACCAGTCAACTCTAGGTAATCCATGAGGCTTTACTTCAAGTTAGCGTGGTAGTCACACAAGCACATACTGACTTCAAACCTTTATAGGACCGGCCAATAAGGATGGAAGTATTAATGGTACTATTGGTAGAGTATTGAACGCAAATTATTAATCGAACGGCGTAAGGGGACAAAGATAATGTTGAAAGAAGTACCATGAATATAAGGTAGTGTTATAAGCGGTGTTTATCCTTCCTGTCCATGATACTTTAATGGATACAACAATGCTGTGATGAATCTCTCTCACCACAAGCATTACAAAAACCTCAGCCTTTCATGCAAACTTTAATTGTTTTCGTAGCTCAAATATTTCCTTCTTGAAAAGAACAACCAAAACAACACACTTACCATTTTTGTAGCTGGTACTTCTGTCTTAAATAATTATCTAAAGCTCCATCTTTCAAGTCCTTCTCTGTCATGGTTTGATCTTCGCTCAGAGCTAAATATATTTTTCGGCATGCCTACTTGAAATTAGCCGTATTAAACCACTGTACCTTGTTTCCACGAGTGCAAAGAAAGTCAATCTCTGATTGAGAAAAATTTGACATTGAGATAGATTTCACTCTGTGGTTATATTTTCTCCTAAACATAATAATATTATAAGGTTCGAGCTTACAGAGCACCACTGCATGTTGTACAAACAAAGGAGCCAATTGTGATGTTTACATATGTCGGGCCTCTTTGATGACAATCAAAACAGTACTTGTTTTCTCCATGGGTAACTAAAGTACGCAAAAACTGCAACGTAGGATCCTGCATCACCTGATTGACTCCACTAAACTGTTAGTTCATGAGGGGCGCGTAACACGACAATAGATACAAACGATCCTAGATGCCCAAATTTATAGTTGCAATAGCCAATGGATTTATATTAATTGCTTTTAGGTCAGCCAAATGAACTGTGTGAGATTTGTGATATAATTCACTAAGATGCTAACTTTAGGTTCTTATTTCTAGACGCGCGAAACAGAAAGGATAGTGATACTTTATTTTGTCGAGTAAATCTTTCGGAAGTGATTGTATCCCTAGGTGAAAAGGATTATTTTATATTTGATAAAGTCGGATTTTTCAGTCACAGTAACATGTAAATATCAGCTTTCTGTGTTCAGTGTCTATAACCTTTAAAGCCTTAAAAAACAAATAATCTAGAGAACAGTTGTTGTGTTGCTCTCTGTGCAAGACCACCTAACAATTAAAATGAAGCAGGTGAAACATCATTTTGATAGACTTGGATGTCTTTGACCGGCCGATGATGGAATGCAGTGTGACGATAGCAGCGGATGGTATTGTAGCTGTAAATAAATGCCCAAAATCAATAGCTCTATAAGTCTTCGACATTGGATACTGACCACATTACTTTTAGCGAACTCATTTAGCTGAAGGCGCTCGGTCATGCATCCATACCAGATCACGTTACAGAACGGCGTGGGAAACATCTCCTACGATCATTAACCAGATTAGATCAGTCACTTCTCGATATATTGATAACCCATCAAATATATCTTCATATCTCCTCGCTACTGACTTCTCATTTTAACTGGCTGGGCGCGATTCGATTACAGGTGTTACTGATAAAGGGTTGCCAAACTTCAATACTTGTAGTGTCTTCAATATCATGTGTGAACCTGATTAACATCGGCCTGTAGGGTCAGTCAAATTTCGCTGAGCCCTAGCGAAATCATCCGGTAGTTGGGTCACTGAACATCGAACAGATCGTCGGTCTCCGCGGGGTCAAGAACAACCAACACGCACCATTTAATCGTATGCCATGGACTGGACTCGCTAACTTCTCTGCGCTCATTCTTATCATTATATTTCCATAATTACGTCCTTTGTGTTATACAGTCATCAAAGCAGCCATAGTATCTTGGTACTTTGAAGGGGTTAGATGCTAACTGAGGGGTGTGACTTAAAAGTTAGCTGGTTCGTCACACCGTTCCCGTCTGAAAAGATCAGGCCCACAACCATTCGAGATATACCATCATCTCTGGCTGTCAATATGCTGCTTATAAAAGGTACCGCGAGCCACTATCATGTTAGCTGTGCAAATCGTGCTCCTTTACAAGGTTCCTACTGATTCTTGTGGCGACTTAGATGATGAACATGGCTAGAAATATACCTTCAGACAAACAGCCTGTAGCAGATGAGCAACTTCTTGTTTTCGAGGTGACAGCGAGCTTTACAATGATTTCAGCTTTGGATTTGAAGAAAACAACCAGGGTGGACCACTACAGCGTAGCGGATAGCAAACTCGCAGGTGCAGGTGTGGTTACAATAAAGAAGAAGTTCCCTGGGAAGAAACACATTGTTGACAACATTAAGGTATGTGAATCAACGGTTTCAGCTCCGTATCCACATATTAACACAAAACAGACTATGGAGTGTCACAACCTGAGCCATGAAGATGGTGTGCAAATAGACACAATAAGGTCAGTGGTTGGTTTACAGCTACCCAGCAAAGTACGGAAGTGGAGAGACCTTCGCATCTGTCTCCAAATCTGACTGGAAGGTTGAGGTTCCGGAAAGAAGAACTTCTATTCTTGTAAAGACGGAGCTCATAGACATGTCGGTAATTTTTCGTAGACTGAGGAAATCTTACGAGAAAGAACCCAAGGCCACAATAGGTTCTTGGTGAGAAAATTACCTCCCGAAACAGTAGGAGGAGTTGGCATCTATAAGCTTCTGAAAGTACACAGGAAGGTTACCTCTTGGAAGCTACCTTTGCTTCTGCTGAAGAAATCTACTTGTGTGAAATTCGCGCAAACTGACTGGATGCGGAATATATGTATGCGATGATCACAGCCTAATTGTTCGCGTCAAGAGACGATCGGCACAGGTAGAAGTGCGCGCCGCCGGATCGGTGAAAATACCTCATACTAATGGGTTTTAAAGTGTTAAAAGTTCGGATCACAACGATCCCAAAACCATTGTGGGTGTTAAGTAAAAGTTCTTCACTGAATTAAAGGTGGGCTATACAAGTGCCCACACCCTACGTAGTATAAAAATAGAGTCGAAAGACGTGGTAACACAGAAAAACCTGATGTCTTTGCCATCCCAGAAATATTGTTAACGTCAGAGGTGTATGATTGTGGGATTTGAGTGATTGGTTTATTACTTAGTATGGCTAACAGACTAAATCTTAGGGTTTTTGTAGGGTTATACTGATAATAAAACCACTTTGACCATGCGAGCTGTAGAGGCAGTGACACAGGACTCAAGGACATGTGAACTGTAGAGCTGCTGGATGAAATGTAAATGGCAAGACATTGAATAATTTTTAGTATGCCGCAGTCCAGAAATATGTAGTACATAACTTCCTCCTAAGCAAACGTAAGTTCTAGTTCAACAAAAGTAAAAGTCTTATCGTAGACTACTTTGACACACCGTTCATAGACTGGAGAAACTATGAAGCAGAAACATTAACAATATAACTTGATTGCATTTTCTTAGAAACACAATATCCCTAGATTTACCCCCAAAACATTAGAGATCTCATCAGATATGACCTACAAACCTCCTCGTCTCTTTTGAACCTAATCTTCACACATGGCGACGATTTCAGTCGAATAACTTTCCTCCCACTTTTATAGGGAACTGATCATGCGGTCATCTTATTCAAATTCATGACCTGGATCGCTTATCAAGCAGTAGCGCCTCCCAGTCCTAACATTTGGAAAGCAGATTTGAAGGTAATTATCTTTCCAGCCCCGGTAGATAACTGAATAATTGACTCAGGCGCATCAGTATGAGAGGTATGAACTCGTTTCAGGCAGTCATACAATCAGGTAACTCAACCATTTACGCCCTAGACAGTCCTAAAAAAGATGGAGTGCAGCCTGCCCAGGTAGACCTGCATATTCGACGTTTTCTATGACAAAAGAAACGTTTAAACAATGCCATCAGCCTTGGCATAGCAAGTGCGATGGAACACCACAGGTTGGTATGACATAAGTTTATAATTACTATCTAAGAAACTGCGAAAATATGAAAATATGTCCCAATATGTAATCAAACAGAATAAAAACTGGTCCCTTACATAAATTACAGAACAAGAATGCAGCACTGGATTCAAAACAGAAGGAATTGGACGTCGAGTAAGTAAGGATGATCGGGAAAAAGCTACATCGAGACAGTTTTCATTCAGGAGACTCTTCTAGACGAATAAATAGATTCAGATACGAAGGTCTTTATCACTTCAGACTTGGAAAAATCAACACGACTGGATGAACTACGCTCTAAAATCTAGAGACCAATTTACACAATATATTGCTGCAATACGTACTACTATATTCATTTTCACTTGGCCAAGGTGAGTTTCCTACGGACCGGAAGGATCCGACTGTCACTCCAAAACATAAAACAGGATTAAGACAACTCCCATAAGACGAAAGACCACGCCACTCGTCAATTCTTGGGACCTGTCAACCGAAGAGACAGTGTATGCCCCTTCAGTCAATTCATTCATGAAAAGACTGGAAACTCTCAAAAGCTTACTTGAAAGTGATCAACACAAGCCGTAAATCTTCTGTCCATACTGCACAAATCTGAAATCTAATGTCTGGAATTGTACTTTGAGTCTGGGATTATTTGAAAATGTGAAGTCGGCAACCCGTTGGAGAAACAGTCAGACGCCGTCACGCTTAGACTGGGTATTCACAAATGTTTTTTTTTGTTTTTTTTATATAAATAAAAAAATGAGCATATTAAAAAATTTTTTATAATAAACTATGAAAAGGTAATTCAAGATAAAGCTTATGTCCTACGTGCAATATTCGTTAAGATGTTCTGGAAATCTGACTCGTCTTCCAGAACGCGTTGTTTTAGGTTTTTCTATCGACGTTGACGAAGTATCAAGTTGTGTGTCGGTTGTCGTGTAGGGTACTACGAGTGTAGTAGCTGTGTCGTTTGCTTGTACCGAAGGAAAATCGACGTAGCTAGGGTTTCCTTCTAGGTACGCAGCTTTGAGTCGATCGATACTGATGCTATCTTTCGTACCGTTCTTATCAACTACATAGTACTTAGGTTCGCGTTGAAGAACTTTGAAGGGTCCTTCTTATGCTGATTCGAGGGGTCGTCGATGTGAGTCTCGACGAACGAAGACGTGTGTACTATGTCGTAATTCGGGTTGGACGAAAACATCAGTTGATTGAGGTCGAGTGTGAGCAGGTTTAACTGAACGCATAGCGTTTGTAAGCCTACTCGTGTAAGAGTTTAGATCCATGTTCAATGAAGAAGCTGAAGGATCTACTAATTCTCCTGGGAGTCGAAGTGTCGTTCCGTAAACGAGTTGAGATGCCGTGTATCCAATGTCAGCTTTCACTGCATTGCGGATACCTAGCAAGACGAGTGGAAGAGCGTCTGTCCACTGTGAAACGTTTGAAGCTGATAATGAGGCTTTTAGTTGTCGATGAAAACGTTCTACCAACCCGTTTGCTTGTGGGTGGTAGGCGGTCGTTCGGAAGCGCGTGATTCCTAAAAGTGTGGTCAGACAACGGAAAAGTCCAGATTCGGACTGGCGTCCGCGGTCTGTAGTGATGGTTGAAGGGCAGTCGAAATTTGCTACCCATCGTTCGACGAAAGCGCGGGCCACGGTTTCAGCAGTAATGTCCTTAATCGGTACTGCTTCTGGCCATCGAGTAAAACGGTCTACGCATGTTAGGAGATATGAGTATCCGTTCGAGTCGGGTAAGGGTCCTACCAAATCTAGATGGACGTGGTCGAAACGAGCGTCAGGGGTTTTGAAAGAACCTAAGGGACATTTGTTGTGTCTGATTACCTTAGATTTCTGACAGCTTACGCAGGAGCGTGCCCACTCCCTCACGTCTTTATTCATGCCAGGCCAACAAAAGCGTTCGGCTATAAGTTCGATTGTTGCACGAGCACCTGGATGAGAAAGATTGTGCAACGTATTGAAGACGTTGCGGCGATAGTGTTTTGGTACAATTGGACGATCCCTACCTGTAGATGTGTCACAGAGTAAGGATTCCTCACCTGTTCCCATCTGCCTAATACTTAGTTTAAGAGTTGTCGAGGATAACTCATGCTGAAGATCAATGTCTTCTTTTTGAAGCTGAGCGAGTTTAAGAAGGTCGATTCCTTGGAAACTGTTCAAGGAATTTATTCGAGACAAGGCGTCTGCGGCTACATTGTTAGCTCCAGAAGTATGTTGTATGTCTGAAGTAAACTGGGAAATGTAGTCGAGTTGTCGAGACTCTCGCGGTGAGTAATTGTCTGAAGATGAACTTAAGGAGAAGATAGGAGGTTTGTGATTGGTAAAAAGTGTGAATTTTCTTCCTTCTATGGAATGTTGGAAATGCCGTACAGCACAATACATAGCTAGGAGTTCCCTACCGAACGTGCTGTACCTAGATTCAGCGTCTAACAACCGTCTCGAGAAAAATCCTAAAGGTTGCCACGAGTTGTTAACCCATTGTTGTAAGACTGCTCCGATTGCTGAGTCGGATGCGTCTACGGCGATACAAATGGGCGCTTGACTGTCCTGATGAGCAAGCAAGGTTGCTTTAGCGATGTGTTCCTTAACTGTGGAGAATGCTTTACGGGCTATGTCGTCTAAACTAATTGATTTCGCATTTCCACGAAGCTGATCGGTTAACGGTTTCATTAGGGACGCGCATTTGGGTATGAACCGTCTATAGAAACTTCCGAGTCCGTTAAAAGTTCGTAAGTGCTTGATCGTGGTCGAGTCTCGGTAATCCAGAATGGCCGCCACTTTGCTCCAAAGTGGTCGAATGCCTTGGGCATCAATGGTGTGTCCTAGGAAGTCTAAGGAGTTTGTTCCGATTTGGCATTTCTGTATGTTGACAGTAATGCCATGCCTTTGGAGTCGATCGAAAACAATGTCCAGATGCTTGAGATGCGATTCTCTGTCCGGACTTGTTATTAGACAGTCATCAACATACGCATGTACGAAGTTGAGACCTCGGAAGATGTCGTCTATAAACCTTTGGAAGGTTTGAGCCGCATTTCTTAAACCAAAAGGCATTCGTAGAAATTCGTAAAGACCGAAGGGAGTGATGATGGCGGTTTTAGGAATGTCGTCAGGTGCCATCGGGATTTGGTTATAAGCTTTAACCAAGTCGATTTTCGAAAAGACAGTTGTACCTTTCAAGGCAGCTGTCAAATCGTGAATATGAGGCAACGGGTAACGATCGGGAATGGTTTTAGCATTCAGACGCCGATAATCACCAGTTGGCCGCCAATCATTGCTGTCCTTTTTAGGGACCATGTGCAATGAGGATGCCCATGGACTATTCGATGGTCGAATTATCCCTAGGTCCATCATGTGGTCGAATTCGTTTTTAGCTAACCTAAGCTTCTCGGGAGCGAGTCTTCGAGCTTTCGAAAATACAGATGGTCCTGTAGTCGAGATGTGATGTGTAACATTGCTAGTTACACAATTTAATTTCGATTGCGATTGGTATATTCCAGGGTATATTGTCGAGTACTGATTGGTACAAGGGGTCTATGGTGTGCTTAATCGTGACTGGGGATAACCTGCAACCAGAACAAGGAGTTACGCAAACGGATAACTTAGTGTTTCCGTCTATTAACCTTCGTGAGCGTGTGTCGATGAGTAGATTGTGGTGTTGTAACAGGTCTATACCAATGATTGGCGTAGAGACATCTGCAACCACGAAAATCCAGTGTATGTGTTTGCGTAAACCCACGTTAAAGTAGACGTACCTTTTACCATAAGTAGCGATCGGCTTTCCGTTTGCCGCCTGTAAACTTAAAACAGACTCGCGAAGTCTGTCGTCGGGATTTGCTGGAAGAACGCTAACTTCTGCGCCAGTGTCGACGAGGTAGCGAACTTTCGTAGTCACATCCGTGACGTATAACAGACGGCTGTGTTCGCCGGCTACGGTTGCCGTTAACGCGTGCCGGCTGGGAAGTTTCCCGAAATCTTATTCGTGTCAGTCGATTTTGAAGTCGGATAATTGCAAGGTTTCCTGCAATTTCTGGAAAACCTACCGTACTGGTTATGATACCAGCACCAGTCGGGATTGTCTGTCTCTCGTGGTCGAGAGCCAGATCGCTTACGCGAGGCGCTTCTACGCGGGGTTTTTGACCGACTACGGTCATTGCGAACTCTAAGATATCGTGTAAGCGTGTGACATAGTTCGGCCATGTCAGTCGAGGTCGATTGGGGTTTTTCTTTAATGGAAAAAACCTCGGCCTTAGAAGATCTAGTGATTTCTAAGATTCGATCGGCAGATGCACCTAGTTCATCTATGGCATTGTTTTGAAATGAAACAAGCACTGCCTGCACCTGTTGAGGGAGTTTGGACAAGAAAAGTTGTCTAAATAAGCCATCATCGAAAGTTCGTTGGCCGATGACTTATTTCATTCTAAGCAACATGTCCGTCGCAGAACGATGTTGCAAGTCGATATTGTTGAGGAGTTGGTCTAACCGTTGTCGATCAGTTAGATCTCCTCGTTTTAAAATCGATAGCTTAAGCGTTTCGTAAGGTTCGGGAACATCACTAGTAAACATACTAGGTGTTACGTACCTGTTAAACTCGCGCGGTAACGCCTTAACTACCGCGAGGAAACGTGTACGCGAGTCCGTGATTCCGTGCACGTTAAAATCGGCTTCTGCGTAGCAGAACCAATACTCGATATCGTCGGGCCAAAATGGGGTTAACTGAATCGAAATAGGGGGGATAGACTTAAACTTAAGAACCTTAGGAGAGTGTTCCGTCATAGTAATATAGATAACGAAAAATGTCTAATTAAAAATATATCCGAGAAAAAAATTCGCGAAAAAAGTATATCACAATATATAAAATTCAAATAAAGAATAACAATGAATAATAATATTCCAAAATGGAACAGACTCACAGTATATTGACTTGGTGTACCAGATCACGTCGGGCTCACCAATGAAGATGCAACGGATATTCTAGTTTTACAACTAGATACCAGTAGCACCTTCTAAATTCGATTGTTCCCAGTCAGATAGAAATCAGAAGTCAGACGAGAAGAGGCAGGAAAGATATATTTGATTCGTTACCAATATATCGAGGACCTTTTCTATGAGCTGGCTAATGAAACGTAGGAGCTGTGTCCCACGCCGAGTTGAAACGTGATCTGGTACGGATGCATGACCGAAAGCCTTCAGCTAAACAAGTTAACCTAAACACGTGGTCAGCATCCAATGTCGAACACTTAATGAACTATTGATTTTGGGGAATTATTTACAGCTACAACGGAAACATAGTATTTCCTCCCTCCCTCCAAAAGGATAAGGTCACTCTGGAACGTATACAACGTCGAGCCACGAAATCAGTTCGGGGTCTCAAATTCAAACCTTATGAAGAGCGCCTCAAATCATTTAACCTTTACCTGTTAGAGTACAGACATCTTAGAGGTGATCTTCTTATGACTTATAGTATCCTTAATACTTCTGGTCATCCCCTTAAACTTCTTAAGCTTAGTCATAACACTAACCTCAGGGGTAACACCCAGAATTTGGAGACCCTACATAGCAGAACAGACTGCAGACACAACTTCTACTCCGTTAAAGTTGTCAAGTGCTGGAATTCGCTTCCGACTGAGCTAGTCCAAGCGACCTCCCAGGAGTCCTTTAAGAGAAAACTTGACTTAATTTTAAGGACTAAGGATAACATATTATTATGATTTACCAAATTCTTTTTTCCCTCTATTATCGTTCATATACCTAGGTTCTTGCCTGGAGGTATTGGTGATCCACTGCTACCAGACACGGAAGCCCGTTAAGCGAAAGCTTCTTCTATTCCGTCCTCAACCATTTGAACCATTTGAACCATTTGTCACCTTGGCGCGGGTTGTACATATTGGCTGCTAGCGTCATGTGTTTTAATGATGCTTGTGAATATGAATGAGGAGTTTGGGGATACTATAATAAGGTCGGATCAGTTGCTTTCTATAGGGCTTGGCGGACTTCGTAATTCAGGCAACACTTGTTACATGAATGCCGCTTTACAAGCCTTATCAAATTGGTAACTCCCAGTCATCCTTTTTACAGTTTTGCAGTCCGCATTTAACAGAATTCTTCCTCGAGTGCCATAATATCCTTGATCCAACTCGAAGACTTGTGTTGTTCAATCATTATTGCACTCTACTTTCTGAATTTTGGGGAAATGAAAGGTAATTAGATTTAATGTTTGAACAAAATACATGTCCGTCAGACCTCGGTAGCGTAGCCTTTGCGAAATTGTGTGTATTTTTGCCATGATTCTCATTTCATCGTTATTGTATCTGATTCCAGAAGTATGGTGTCACACTTTTCCCTTGACATACTTGAAAACGCAAGTTAGAATCCTACATGTAGTGCAAATGCTTTCCTTTTTGATTTTTCAATAGTCGCAAATGTAGACTGGGGTTTACTTAGAAATTTAGAGCGAGGTTGACACTAGTTGTTTCGCAATGTGGCCTGACATTTTGTCCTTGGCAATGCGTCATCAACACAATAAAGAGGAATGATAGTAAGAAAGGAGGTGAAATAATCATTTCATTGGCGATATAAAATCAAGTATTCAGAGCATATTTAGAATGAAAATAAAGCGAGAAAACAATCGACTTGATGTTTATAGAGATAAGTAAACTCATTTGACTTTCCCACTAATGATACCAACTACTAATTCAGATTAACGTGTGGACTTTAACCAGGGACTTTTCGTTTTGTCACCATGTCTTCTGGCACTCCGAATCTACACAAAACCTTATTCAGTTATTTTGTTGGTTGCCGTCATACTGTTATTCCAAACAGGCGTCGTAGTGATTTGATTCAGTTGTTTCTAAGTTTAAATGTCAGGTTCTCAGTCATGCTTCATATGATGATCAGTAGTAATATATAAATGCTCAATCTGGGTCCTGGTTAACTGAACTTTAAGTTCAATACTCCACTGTGAAGTAATATTACTACTAAGTCTCATATGATGATAGAGTTCCCGAAATTAAACCTAACAGTCAGGTCATATTGATTGGTGACCAAATGGCATCTAGCTAATTTCTTGCAATCTGTGGTTTCTCACTATGTATTTTTGTGTTTATATTCTGAGCATAAGCACGTTACTTCATATGACAAACTTATTCACCTGGCTAGCAGTCTTCTCTTTGATTTTTAATCTTTCGAGATTTTAAGTTAATAATAAGGTTTAGTAAACAGCCATCACTCGGCTATCTTATATCACTAAAGTCATCTATCAACTAGCTATCTCACCTATCTTGATACCAGTCATATCCTACGTAGGACCTAAGACAAATTTTCATCGATTCAGGTTAAAAACTGGAATGTCATCCTTTAAGACTTGCATTATCAATCCATTTAATCTTGGTGCTTTCCGTGGTTTCAAACTAGCTGCATTTTTAAATTCTCTAGTGTTCATGTAGTTAATAAAGCTTGTTCTATGTAAATCGTCTTTAGAACAACAAAAGCTTCTACATATTTTTGGAAGCACAGTTTCAGAAAGTAAAGAATAATGTTTAGTAAATCCGATACGTCAAAACTTACTATACATGCGGAAAAATATGAAGCTACAGAAAAACGTTGATAGTGTAGATATTAAGGAGTAAGAAATTCGATCGTGAACGTGACAATCTCGGGTGTATTTAAAAATTTGAGACATTTTTATTTCCTGGTTCCTTACTCTGAAAAATGTTTTCGGAAGGATGATAAACTAGATAAGCTAGTCGTAGTTTTTTAACCTAGGAGCTTAACCGTTTAGCTTAAGGGACTGCTGTTTGATTGACCACTTTGTAAGTAGTATTTAATGTATTATTTAATGCTCTATGATTCTCAGGCTATAACGTCGTTGGGATTTAAGGTTTGTAATCTGTAGTGCCGATCTTTTTTGACCTCTTGTTGTAAAAAGTCAGCAACCTTAGTAGTGTATCAATTCTTACCATTTTTAACTATGCTTAATCTTCATCCATACTTTTCGCTATGATTCTCACTTTTTTGAACTCTGCTGAGTAGTTTAAAACTAGGATAAAGTTATCTGATGACTCATTGTTTAAGGTTGTGTATATGAAATCAGTGTTCGGTGTAAACTATCCTCAAACTAAACATTCACCACGAACTTATCCTAGTAACAATAATCCTAATGAATTATTTCCAAAACAATTTCTGGAATTCTAGTAGGACTTAGTAACCTGTAGAGTACAACTAGGTTGTCTGAAAAAAGGGAGAACCCTGAAATTTCCAGTCTTAACGTTCATAATTTTTCTGTGACCACTTGTTTTTCTCGACCTATATATCTTATACCTAGTTTCCCAATATAGTTGGTACTACTTTTGCTACAGCTCCTTTAATTTTTGCGTATTAATATTGGGTCAATTCACTTTTATGCCTGGAAATTAACGACAAAATCCCTAATAAATTTACAGAATTATGTTTTATACGTGGTCATCGTAATATATCATTCTGAATCCGTTTAACAATTTTGAGGATTTTGTTTTTTATTTTTGCTGTGAGAATGCAATTCATGAATTATAAATGTTGGTACTCGTAACTTTATTGAAGTAAGATTGTGGTTAATCTTTTTTATTTGAACAACAGATAACGGTTTACATAAAGCTGTTCTGGTTGATTTTCTCCTTTGATTTCAATTAATTTGAATCCTGTATTTGGTACCATGTAATTTGTACTGTATATCTGCTTTTCTATTACCTTTTCTCACTTAGACCACGCTGTTTCAACGCAAATGCAATTTTAGATACTTTCTGCATTGTGCACCCAATGTTCAGAGGTTATGCACAACAAGATGCCCAAGAATTTCTGAGACTGTTTTTAGTCCAGCTGCACGAGGAACTGAAACACTCAAGGCTTTCAAACCCAGACAAAAAAGGTACTATCAGACCAAAGAAATAGATTGCAACTAGTGTTTTTGCTTGTCATTAATAGTAGGTCAGAATATGTGAATCTTACTCTATTAGCTAAATATTAGCGGCAGTTAACACTGCTATGTGCTTGCTCTAAATGTAAGTAGTTCAGCTTCATTTTCTAAGTTTTATTCTGTCCACTGGCTTAATCTGACAACTATAGTCTGTCTGATTTCCTCCTAAGAATGATAGTATTAGATTTTCACTACGCATTCAAACCTCCATTTCGACCTGAGGAGCTGATTATCATTCAGTGCATTTACACCACTTGTAATTTAAATCCTAAGAAAGAAACTTGAACAAGGTGGCTAAATTGTAGAGGGTAACAGTTTGCCAGAATAATTATACCTGTATTAACAGGTTAAAACTACATTAATGTCTTATTAAGTTTAACACAAGCTCATTCAGAAGACCATTATTGGGATTAAAATGGGCTGCGACAAAGTCACACATGTTTAGAATAATTTGTTAGTTTATCCTTCTTTCTATGGAAACAAGACAACTATAGACAAAAACATGTGTTCAATTTCACTAATAGTGGTTGAATTATGTCAGATATTAATTCACAGTATTACTTTGTATCACTACCAAAAGGTCATAATTACTGCACAAACTGGCTAATCAGATCTGAAGTATAGGAACATTAATTTTCAGTACTTTATTTATTCATTTAAACACACAAGTTTTGGTACAAAGGAGCACCAAAATGTTTATGCGTTACATTTTATTTACTTAAACATAAGTATTGGTACAAGGGGGCACCAAATATATATGCGCCACACAAAACAATCAGGATGGGAAGAGAAAAGGGGTAAGATGCATATACATATTTATGTAATAAGAGTAATGATGGAGGAAACTGAACTGTATAACCAGTAGAATTCCTTCAGTTAAGGAAGTTATGACCGCTCTTCATGAAGAAAGTAAAAAAAAGGTTACAGCAGGATCGCCACTGGCTTCTATTCTGAGCCATATCTGATAACGTCTCCAGTCACTGTGTTGCACCATCTCTTGTACCCCAGCCAGGGAGTCGTGGAGGACCAACAGAAACCATCCCTTTGCAGCTTTCTTTCGTACCATGACACCATGTCATACACTGACCTCCTCTCCGCTTTCTCCAACCAGTCCCAGAGTCGGCAAATAATGCACGACGTGGAAGTCTCTGGGACGCATTCGTAAAACATGTCCAAGCCACCGAAGTCGGTGTTTCAAGATGGTGACACCAATTGAATTATCGTCTCTGCGCCCGAACACACGATGCCGAACCTCTGCATTACTAAGATGGTGTTGCCACTGGATGTCAGCAATCCTTCGGAGACAATGATGATCGAACACAGAGAGTCGTCTAACAACCTCAACTCAGAGAGGCTAGGTTTTACAAGCATAGAGCTGAACCGCTCTCACCGACGCGTTGTAAATCCGACCTTTTACATCCAGACTAAAATCACAAAGGAGCCAGAGATGGCTCAGATTGCATAAGCCGCTCTGGCTTTCACTATATGCGCATCGATTTCATCACTTACACTACCACCAGCACGTATGCAGCTGCCTAGATACACGAACTTCTCAACTAATTCAATCTGCTCACCATCTAGGTTTAGTACAGAATTCGAATCCTGCCAGTCTTGTGGGAGTATTTTGCACTTGGAGGGTGCAAAGCACATGCCGTACCTGCGGACACTGATTGCCAACTGGTTAGACAGGGATTGCATGACATGGGCATTATCACACTGCAAGACAATATCATCCGCACACTCAAGGTCGAGAAGTCGTTCTCCAGGCAACAGATCCACACCGCCATTACTTACATCCATCAGAGCTGTTTCCAGGATGTTATCTATGGCAGAGTTGAAGAGGAATGGTGAGATTGGGAAACTCTGTCTTACGCCACTGCTTGAATAGATGAATGGAGAAAGGTGGTTGTATGTCCTCACTCTGCCTGAGGTGTATGTATACAGGGCCGTTAAGATGTTAATTAACTTCTCAGGCACATCCTTCTTTAATTGACAATCCCAGAGAACAATCCCATCCAACGAATCAAAGGCATCCCTGAAATCAAAAACACTACGACTGTTGGCCTGTGGTAAGTATGACGGTGTTTTAACATTTGGCGAAGGGTGAAGATATGATCGATGTATCCTTGACCAGAACGAAAACCAGCCTGCTTTTCGCGAGTCAATCGTTCTCGGGTTTTGAACAACCTACGAAGTATGACAAGCCAATAATTTGGATAAGATCGGAAGTAGACTTATCGCCCGATAGTTGTTACAGAAACGACGTGAACCCTTTTTAAAGATAGGGACAACTATCGACTCATTTTATGATGCTGGAACACTCTCTAGCTTCCAAACCTTTGTAAACAACATAGTCAGTTCTTTAACCAGAAAGGCACCACCATCTTTTAAAAGAGCCGGAGGTAAGTCATCTGGGCCCGGTGATTTGTAACGTTTCAAGAGTTGGAGTTCCTTGCGGACTTCTGCCTCATTTGGTGGATCGGTCGTCACCGGCCATGGAGGACAGGATCTAGGCGATGTTGTCGGAGCAGCAGGCCAGTTGAACTGCCCTTCAAGGAATTCCACCCATCTTCCGAGACGTCGGTAAATGTTAGTGATTGGCATCCCGTCATCCTCGTAGATTGTTTCACTCACACCAGACTTCTTGTTGCCAGTGGCTCAGATGAGTTGGAAGAGCTTCCAGCAGTTACCAGATGCAGCTGCTGCTTCCAACTTATTAGCACGCTCCGACCACCAGTCTTTTTAGTCCTTATGCAAGCTTTGCACAATTTCATTACACAGCAATCTTCGTTTACGGTCAAAGTCGTGGTCATCCGGAGTAGACTGACGTGCTTCAACGCGTTGTAAGGAGCCTGTAAAAACCTTATTTTTTATAAGCAGGACGTTTCGCGAATCCGCAAGCGGCTTTACTCGCCATTTTCATGGCGTCATGAAGTTGCAACCAATGCTCATTTATACTTTTCGGTGGTATGGTGGCTAGCCTAGAATCTAGCTCGGTTCGATACTTACTTGCAACAGAAGTTGCAACCGATTTACTAACATCAATCCGTTGATGACGGTCAATTCATTGGTTACTGAAAAGTAAGGTAAGATTGGCGCAGACCAGGGCATGATCAGAGTCCAGATAGGTACTCCAAAAGCAGCAGTAGTTTTGTACACAACCACGCCAGCGGTAGCTGATCGCGATGTGATCTATCTGAGTTCAGGCTTAAGATGCAGAAGGAGGGCGTCAGGTGGCACACCGGCGATGACTGTGCCGGAAGTTAGTGCTAGCCAGGAACAGATTGTGGTCTGTGCACAGTTGCAGTAGACGGTCTCCGTTATCTGTCCTGCGACCAACAAGTCCCCATCGGCCACCTAAACGACTCTCTTCTGTGTCTAGACGCCCAACCTGTGCATTCAAGTCTCCGGCTAGTACTACAATATTTGTCGAGCGCACTTTCTGGAGAAGAACAGTTAACTGGTAATCGAATTCGTCCTTGATTGCATCCAGGCTGCAATCTGTCGGGGCATAGGCGGAGATGACGAAAAGACACCGTTTCTCACGTCGATTTCTTCTTACTTTGATGAAACTTTCTAATCTAATGGCACATAACCGACTGTTAATGGGGATCCAATGGATTAGTGCAGCCTCAGCTCTAGCACTTAGTGCGACACCAATGCCAACAAGACCAGACGAAAATGCCACAGGGTCCCTAGATAAACTCATGTGAAACAAGCTTTTCGAAGCGACAGATGGAGAGCGAATTTGTAGTACTTCACTAGGGTCTTGAATGCGGGTCTCGGATAGACAGCAAACGTCAACATTAAGAATTTCCAAAGACATAGCCAGCCCTATCTGTTGTCCGATCTGCATTAGTATGCGAACGTTGAAGGAAGCTAGTTTGAACGGCGTACGTGGTTTCAGAAAAACTGGTTCAGTATTCGTGTTCGGTAGAAGCATTCGCTTTCGACCAGACAGTGACTGGAGATCGTTTAGATAGAACAGATTTTCCACCGTGGGCGAACTGCTGCAAAAGTTGGAAAGTATGGATACACAAATTGAGAATAAAAAGGAGTGAATAATCGACGTGTTAAATGATAATAATAATAATGTAAATTGTCTGACTTCTAGTAGGAGCGAGATTAGTATTGTCAGTAAAAAGCTTCATTTCATCTATTTTTGCGAGGGCTGTGATAATGCCCGGGTTCCCAGACCGAAGCAGGTGGTTTTCTTAGGGGATTACACCCCAAGCCTTTGACCTAAAGGTCTAACCCACAAGGCAGTGGAGCATTGTGAGGAGATGCAGTCCCATGGTAGCCGGTGACCGACAATTTGTTCATACGCCATTTGTTCCCTCAGGATACTGGAACCCATGTGTACCATTGGTTTGGAATCAAGGTTTTTCCAACTCCCCTAGGTGCAATTTCCGTATCCACCGAACCGGTTGAAGCGCCGTAGATTCGCTTTTCGTCCTCTCAATTTCGTAAACAACAGTAATGCCACGAGAAGGCAGTGAGTAGGAATTCCCTGGGAGAGGCTATTACGCGTGGTCGTGTGAGAGCATTTCGAGGAGAGCGAACTCTCCCCCCTCTCAGCTGTACCAGGGCACTCGGGGGCGTTACACAGTAAAAAAGATGAGTGTTCGGAAAGATGGAGAAGGGGAGATGATTATAACAAAAGTAATGAGTGAAAATGTATGAGACCTAGAAAAATAATAGATGAAGCAGTCCAGTTAACAAAAATAGGACCAGAAATATTTATTTCACTTAAAAAATTAATCTTACCTGAAGAGACTCAAAAAAGATAACGGGACAGTAACTGGCTTCTATTCTGAGCTGTTTGTTATTGTCTCAAGCCAGTGTTGGACCATCTCTAGGATCTCAACCAGGGAGTCGTGAAAAACTGACAGATGCCAGGCGTGTCCAGCTTTTTTTCATACCATGACACCATGCCATGGACTAACTATCTCTTAGCTTTTTCCAATCGGTCCTATCGTTAACAAATAATGGATTCGCTTAGAAGACATTCGTAGCACATGTTCTAGATGGTGATAACTGAATTACCGTCATCATATACATTGCTAGACATCTACATCGCGAAAATGTCACTGAATGTCAGCAATCCTTCGGGGACAATGATGATCGAACACAGAGTTGCCTAACATCTTCAGCTTGGTAAGGCCAGGTTTCACAAGGATAAAGTAAAACTGCTTTCACCGACGCCATTGTCAATCTGACGCTTTACACAGGTTCCAAAGATAACCTAGATTGGCATAAGCTTCTCTGGCTTCTACTGTACGTAAATTTATCTCATCAATGACATTACCATTAGCACTTGTATAGCTATCTAAATACGCGGACTTTTCTATTACTTCTAACTGTTCTCTTTATATTTTATATAGGCATCAAGCAAACAACTACTGCTGGTTCATCGGACAACAGTAACAATAGTATAATTACCGATGTCTTTCAGGGCAAATTAATTAGCTCTGTCCGTTGCCTGTCATGCAGTCGGGTTAGTCATTTATTCGTTGTTACAAAAATCTTGAAAACATATTTCCTTTCATTCCCAGTTATTATATTTAGTTTGCTAATGTCTCAAATGATCATACGAAATTTAAAATTAATAAAGTTTCTGTCTGTGATGTTGCTGCTACCTTGACGTGGTGGTCGGGCTTGCCTGTCGTGATGATCCAATCGAGCTATGCTGGCTGGAACAATCGTTCCTCATGGTCCTACCATGCCAGACAGGTCGGTTGAAGAGCGGTGAGATTAAAAGCAGCAATCCCAAGGTCCGAAGGCGAAGTCGTACTGCTGACTGTACAGAGGTGTGAAAGCAGTAAGGTGTTTCCTTCAGACAACCAGCATGACAGCGATGCTGCCTTCCCACAAGGAGGGGTGGGGTTAGAAAAGGTCGGCCCTAAAAATGCACACCTCGCCTTATCCCACGGATTTCCGTCTCCGGCGGTAAGGACTTTTGAAGAACGGAGCTAACACGTCAAAAATCCCCCACAAAATGGCCGTGCGTGACCGGCCTCAAGCAGATGTCCCTTGGGAACTGCGGTCACGCTCTCAGGTCGTTAAGACCAACACTAATCCAACTTCTTTTTCAGGTCCCTCAAGAAATACCCTTCCACGGTGTGGGCAGCCGGGAAGTGATACTAGCCCTCATACCCTTAACTGCACACAAGACCAAGTTGGTCGCTTTCAAATCCTTCCTACACCTAATAACTCTGTTATCTCCACGACTAACCCTTCCCACGTCCTTTTATCACCTCGCACCGCTATGGCAAACGATTCGAGTACACAGAACGTTATTCCTGGTCTCCTGAAACCACGCTCTAAATGACATATAGGAACTTTTAATGTCCGAACATTGTGCCAAATAGGACAACAGGCTTCCTTAGCTAGGACTCTAGAATCTTACACCATAGGTGTGTGCTGCGTCTCCGAAACGCGCATTCAAGATTCGAGTAGTGTCATTCATTTGACCTCACCATGTCAAAATGAAGAACCGACTCCATTCACGCTTCGTGTATCTGGAAGCCCTGACGCTGCTTCCCGTGGCCTCGCTGGAGTAGGTATAGCATTGAATCCTAGGGCAGAACTAGCTCTTTTAGACTGGATCCCAGTGGACAGTCGTCTATGCGCTGTCCGACTAAACGGATCACTAAGGACCCAGAAAGATAGGGAAACTCGTCGTTACCTCTTCGTCGTCTCTGCCTACTCTCCCACTGACTGCAGCTCAGACGATATAAAAGATGAGTTCTACAGAAAACTTTCTGACCTTCTCCGAGAAGCTAGGCGTTCTGATGTAGTAATAGTAGCAGGTGACTTTAATGCTCAAGTAGGTAAAGTAAGTGAAAGGGAAGGACACCTGGGTGGATCTTATGGTGTCATGGCGAAAAGAACAGATAATGGCGACCGTCTGTTGCAGCTATGCTCAGATAACCGCCTATTTCTTGCAAATACTAACTTTAAGCATAAGGAAAAACATCTTTTGACATGGCGACCCCCGAATTCGTCCCAACGTTGGACCCAATTAGATCACATCGCTATCAGCCACCGATGGAGGGGCTCGATAGAAGACTGTCGCTCATTCTGGGGCACATGCTTAGATTCAGATCATGCTCTAGTGCGAGCACGTATCTGTCTGCGTCTTACTGGTCGTAGGAAAGACACTGCAGGGAAGCCCCTAAGGGTTCTACTTAATGATAGGCAAGCTAAGAATATATTTCAGGAACAACTAGAAAAACAGTTAGGCAACCATGTAAGTTGTGTCCACCCCAAGGCAGCGTGGAATGACATCCGAAAAGCTGTGGAAACAGCAGTGATATCCGCTAGTAAGGTGAACCATAACGTTAGGGAGAAACAATGGATCTCGGCAGCATCTACCGCACTGATAGATGCTCGTAAACTCATCCCACCTGGCTCTGAGCATAACGAAGAGCGGAGTCAACTTAAGCGCAGGCTTATAAGAAGCCTACGTAATGATCGTGAACAGTGGTGGGTAGCGAAAGCAAGAGAGATGAAAAAGGCAGCGGCAATAGGTAACAGTAGGCAGCTATTCAGACTCGTTAAAGAAACCGGTATTAGGAGCCCAAATATCAGTGAAACCATCTCAGATAAAGATGGGCATATTATTCATTCTCAATCCAGGAGATTGGATCGATGGGCAGAACACTTTAGGGATCAGTTCAACTGGCCTTCAGCCACACTTCAATTACCCACGATCCCCAGTCGTCATGAATGGCAAATTGATGTAAGTCCTCCAACCCTCTGTGAGGTTGAAAAAGCTATAGGAAATCTGAAGCGAGGGAAAGCATCAGGCCCTGACAGGTTGACCCCTGAGATTTTTAAGGATGATGGTCCAGTACTAGCAGTGAGATTGACTGACATCTTAGGTAGAATCTGGGAACTGGATGTAATTCCATCTGACTGGTCCCAATCACTGATTGTGCCAGTCTATAAGAAAGGACAAAAGTCCTCTTGTGACAATCACAGAGGGATCAGTTTGACTAATATAGTGTCTAAAATATTAGCTTCAATAATACTAGGTCGCCTAACCAAAGCTCGTGAAGAGCAGACTAGAGAAAACCAGGCTGATTTTCGACCTGGACGTGGTTGCATAGACCAGATATTCACCATACGTCAGGTCCTAGAACATAGACACAAATTCAGACGTCCCACAATAGTAGTGTTTCTTGACCTTAAGGCGGCATTTGACTCCGTTGATCGTGAGGTTCTATGGCAATGTTTGTCACTGAAAGGAGTACCAAAGAAGTACATTAACCTCATAAAGGCTCTCTTCTCGAAGACAACTGGTAGAGTTAGAGCCTATGGCGAACTGTCATCAGAACTGATTACCACAAGTGGCGTTCGTCAGGGCTGTCCACTCTCCCCATTCTTGTTTAACTTTGTCATTGACATACTTTTAGAGATAGCACTTTCATCAGCTAAACCTCCAGGAGTTGAACTTTTACCAGGAGGCTCACTTGTTGACTTAGAATACGCCGACGACATAGTTTTACTCGGTGAAGACGCTGACAACATGCAGAGTCTTCTGACCACTATAAGCATCTATGCAGGCATGTTCGGGATGCGATTCTCTCCCTCGAAGTGCAAAATGTTACTTCAGGATTGGGTTGCATCGAAACCTGAACTAATGATAGGGAGTGAAGTAGTTGAGCGTGTTGACCGCTTCACTTATCTTGGGAGTCTCATCAGCCCTTGTGGTCTAGTGTGTGACGAGATCTCAGCACGGATACAGAAGGTTCGTCTAGCTTTCGCCAACTTGCGTCATTTATGGAGTAGGCGAGATGTCCGTCTAGCAACAAAAGGACGGGTTTACTGTGCAGCAGTCCGTTCCGTCTTACTTTACGGCAGTGGAACATGGCCGATAAGAGTAGAGGATATTCGTAGGCTACTAGTGTTCGATCATATGTGTCTTCGACGCATTGCTCGTATATCCTGGGACCACCGGATAAGTAATGTAGCTGTTAGGAAACGGGTGCTAGGTAAGGATGGCAAATCGATTGATGAAGTAGTGAAACTTCATCAGTTGAGATGGCTGGGACACGTGTTACGTATGCCCGACCACCGACTGCCCCGACGTGCAATGTTTCATGGTGTAGGAGTAGGTTGGAAGAAATCTAGGGGTGGCCAGACCAAAACGTGGCACAAATCAATGAAGTCACTGACAAGTGGACTGGGCCATGTTGGTAGGTGTAGACTACCTGGTTGGGATTCGCGAGATGACAGCAACCGATGGTTAGAGACCTTGAATGACATGGCTCAAAATCGTTTGCAATGGCGACGATGCATCCACTCTTTGTGTTCTACCAAATTCTAATCTTCTGAATTCCTCATGTCTTTATGTTTTTCTCTTTCCAAATTTATTTCACTGTACTATACTCCTTCAATAACATCTTCAAACCCTAATCTTTTGGATTTCTGATTATACTCCTACTACTTCTACCACTATGGGATTTGAATCGACAACTGCATCTCTGTGCTAATGTGGTATGGCAACTCGAACTGATGTACGTACGTACGAAGTTCTACGTTGTGACTGACTGACTGACTGTCTGGCTTTCGCCAATTTGGGGTAGGTGAGATGTCCGTCTGTCAATCAAAAGGGAAGTATACAGCACAACAGTTCGTTTCGTATTACTATGTGTTCTTGACACATGTTTCATGGAAGTAGAAGAGATACATAGACTTCAAGTGTCGTTGAAGCATTGCTCGGGTTTCGTAGAACGACCAAGTAAGCAATACTATGGTTAGGCATTAGAGTACTAGGCGAATATGAAAAATCGGTTGATAAAGTTGTGGGTCATGCATTTCGTATGGATAACTGCCCCTCACCTCTATGAACTGTGTTAGTTAATGTAGAAACGTGTTGAAAAAATCCAGTGGTGACCATACCAAAACCTAGGAGCAGTTCATGAAGTCGCTGACTATTCGTATAACCCATCTTTGTGGATGCATACCATTTAATTAGGATCCACATGTTCACCGTGTTTAGTGGTTACAGATGTTGGGTGAGATGTCTTAAAATAAGTCATAATGGCACAGGTGCTTTCACTCTTTGTCCTTCTACAGTTCTTGAGTCTTCCCCCATAAATACCTTTTCGGACCATATTTTTAAGGTTTATTTCTCATCGTTATCATTGGTACTGTACTTTTTCTACTCCTTTATTGTTCATCCTTTTAATTTTATCTCTGCATTAATGTGGTATATTGACTTGGACTAAGGTATATTGTTGTCGGGTTCTACATTAATTGTAACTGACTGTAACCAATAAAAGTTGCTGTCTTTTGACAATTATATTCAAATCCTTCAACTTGCGAAATGAATTTTTGTTTATTCAATATGAAAAGTTGTTTAATTTTGAAGATAATTTTTGTCTTGGACCAAAAATAGTTTGGTATTGTGAATGTCACTACTAAAAGATCCCATACTAATTAGAAATAACTGTTCAGTCCTTTATTGTCTGCTGTTCAATACGATCTTTTAAGTTAATCTGGAAGACCAAGGAAGCCCGTTATGTCATAAAAGAAATGAAGTCAGTCTAACTAAAAAAATTGTGATGTGTGGGCGAGAATGACAATGATTGGTTGTCTTGATGAGTCAGACATTAGATAGGATGACAGGTGTTATGTATTTATATATTCTCCTACCCTTATTATGTATTGACTGTTCTCTGTGTCGGACTTTGGGTGTGTGGGAATATATTGACGTTATATTCAGGCTAATCTCGTGTTCTTGATCTGAGTTGTTTTGAAGTCATGTAGAATAGACACTGTGTGGGAATCTAATGTAGATATTCGTCTAAGGTAAATTAACGTTTCACATACATGTAAAAAGTGAAAAGACTGTTATAACCAGAATCCTAGCGTCATAACAAGTATCTTCCTGTTTATAACCGATTGTTTGTCATGTTATCAATTAATAAAGCTATACAGTCACATTGATTGATTATTTGACATTAGTAATCTACGTAATTATCGCATCATTAATAAGTCAGCTTACGATTCATCAGAATAAAGTAGAAGCGAATTTAGAAAAATAAAAGAATGAGGGACGAAGTACGTTGTTTTTGAACAGAGTTTAGGCCTAGTTTGGTGGATTGCTAACGTCTCCACTCTGTAGAAGTTTCGGATTCATATACTGACCCTAAATCCATTCTTTTAACTTAGTAGATAATTTTGAACAGTATTTGCAATAAAGCTACGTAATTAGAGTTGAAAAAGTGTTAGTTGATTCACATTCCCTTCTGACTACTAAACGTAGCATGTTTTTTTTACCCACATCTTTGGTAATTACATGACTTCAGGATATAAGCTCAGTTGAATGAAAATTAGCTTGCAATTAACTTTAACTTTTATCATTTAATCTTGTTACATTAACAATTCAACCAGTACCATTATGAATAGTTATGTTTAGTTGGCATTAAGTCCTGGAAAGGTTCTTAGTACTTTCAAGAAACAGCTGTTTTATGTTTTTTATATTATAAACAATTCCTTCTAATTACGTTTCTATATCTTTTCCTTTAGTTAACTCAACACCGAATTTTACATTCTTTTTTTGAATTCACAGCACACAAATATTCATGGTAATAGGTACTTTGTCGTCCAGTTTATAAAGTGTGATTCACATACAGTTTGGCAAAGGCTATGAATGTAGATTTTATTCAAAATCAATCTCATTGAAGCTCATTAGTTTACACATGTCCTTGCTGATTTAAACTTTGTTGAAATGTATTAATTGAATATATACTGTTTGTTTTTTCTAGTATCATACATATAAACAGAATAAAAAGAAATCTGAGACGTGTTCATTTAGAATATGTAAACATTTGTAAATTTTTCTTAGTCCTCAAAGAATTTTGTACAGCAATTTCAATTTACCACGATGTGGATGTAGAGTGTCCACCTAGGGGAGTTGGGAAACCCTGATTCCAAATCAATGGTGCACATGGGCTCCAGGATCCTGTAGGGACAACTGGCGTATGAACCAATTATTTGGTCACCGGCTACCATGTGACTGCATCGCCTTACTATGCTCCATCGCCTTGTGGATTAGACCTTTAGATCAAAGGCTCTGGGTGTAGTCCTCTAAGAAAACCACGTGCCTCAGTTTGGGCACCTGGGAAGTATCACAGCCCTCAAAAATGAAATGAGATTTGTGAGGCGCATATATATCTGGTGCCCCTTTGTACCAATATTTATGTTTAAATAAAGTATAAAAAAAATTATCACGATAAATATAGCATACTTCGATTTCTCGCTGGTGTTTACTAAATGCAATGTTTCGTCTGGAAAAATGAACAATTTCCGGTCGTTCTGTAATCCCTTTGTCTACTTTTCTCATGTCTAAAAAATTAGATATACGTGTTGATAAATAACCGATCACTGAGCAGTAATTTCTGTGTATGTCAAATCTTTCTTAGTGAATTTGATCGACAAAATTCGGTCAACTTTCAGAAGGATGTACATGGCGTTGACGACTACTCAGTGATCAGTTAATGGAAAATATACCTCTGTCCTACAGTAGGTTAGTTGCGTCTCAAATAGCTTAGTGGAAATGTCTCTGATTTCACATTTGGGTGTCAGAATCGATTCGTTCAGAGAGTACCAGTTCTCTTGAGATAGTGCCAGATAGCACTAAATCTAGGTTCAGGGTTTTCTGTTGACTACATTTAATCAATTTACATGTGAAGATGTATGTCCCTGTGATGGATTCTGAAATTTTTAGATTTTTTTTGATTTAGCTCCGAAAGATTCAAAAGATGTTTTACGAGTCTTCATTTTCTCCGTTCTCACAAATTTAGTTCATATATTTTATGCATCAGTGCTTCCATTTATTTGATGAAGTGTTTATTAATATCCACATTCAGTAAATTTTTAATGTTTTTGTATATATAATTATGTCATTATGATTATTACTTCTACTTTTATATAGCTATCCAATCGGGAGGAATCATTTATGGACTTGTCCCTTTCCCTTACCAAACCTACTGTACAAACGTATTCATCCTCTTCTGTTGATCAACCAACAAAATCCTCTTTGATGAATGGTTCAATAAGCACAGGTTCTTTATTGAAAAATGGTCCTGTATATTTGAAAACATCAAGTGATTTACAACAGACGCAACCATCAAAGTCAACAAGTAGAAGGTATTCTACATCACGTGGATCAAAAATGAAATTATCTTCGTTATTCACGTTACCAACAATTGTTAGTCGTCTGGTAACGGGTATTCCTTGGCTATTGACTATGCTTTTAACCCTAACTCATATATTTCTAACCTATGTACAAAGCTTTTTGCCCTCGTAAGTTCTGGCGTAAATAATTTGTACTAGTCTAATCATATATATACGTTTAAATTACTGCATTTTCTATCCAAACAATAAGAGCAAGTTTTTGACAAATAGAAATAGATAAGTAAAGATAGTGTAAATGATAGTAAATTCAATGGGGAACGGAAAAAATTGACAAAAGAACTATGACCATAGTACGAAATTTTTGTTTTTATTTATATAGTCATCTCTGATGTACAACATGGGGTTCTGTCTGAGCAATCTAAACTTAGACATTGTTCTAAATTTTGTTTCACCAAACAATATTTACAAATTTATTAGTATGGAAATGAATGTTGTTTGATGATCAGTGTACATAGTACAATCCAACTCACAAGTCAGTCATATGCAACATAGAATCTAGTATCGGTTCACATTGGCACATCCGGATGAAATTGTCAGAGCAAATTTTAGATTACTAATGTTCATATCAAAGAAACGACAGTGAAAGGTACGATTTACGAAGAAAATGTGGATCAATAGAATAAAAATACTATATTACAATAATCATAGAACCTTGTGTGTATACATATTACCTTGAAATTCCCAATAATTTAACTCATAATTTCCGTCCTAATGTTCCTGGTTTCGAGCCCCTTGTGCGTGGTCGTGAATTCATACAGTTGAAGAGTCCCATACCGAGACGAAACGGCCGTCCAGTGCTTCCAGGTTTTCAATGGTGGTCTAACGTTGACCAATTCATGATAGCAATTCAAACTCAGCAGTCTTCACAAAACACTACTCATAATTTCTCTATTTTTTCCTTTTGTTTTATATTTTTGTTTATATAACAGACCTAAACAATGGATAGATAAATGGTCCACTCTTACCCTTGAAGATTGCTTATCTCATTATTTTTCTGAAGCGGAATTAGTTGGTGAAAATGGGTATTTCTGTGGAAGATGTAATCAGTAAGTTTTGTGCTGGCGTTTCGCTTTTTATTTGTACGTTTACATTTGCATTCCTTAAAGAGAAAAAGAGAGTTAAGTTGTGAATTGGACTACTCAGCAATTCGAAAATGTTACGCGAATTCCAACGGTAGCTCAAGAATGGTAAAGATCAGCCATATACACTGTCAGAAATTTATTGTTTTTTAAACTCAACAGTCCATTTTCTGGTTGCATAATCTCGCTTCTGTAACACCCTGTCTAATCACTAGTTCTTCTGATTATTAATTGACTGGACAAGAGAGTGTGCTGATACAAACACAAAAAACAAATGTTATCTCTATAATATAAATGATGCGAAATGAAGTTGTTCGATATTTCTTGTCCCGTCATTTGTAAACCAAATAAGCTGTATATTTTCTATTAATTAAACATGAAAGTTTTCTGTCTCAGTTCACTAGAAAGAACTGAACTCTCATCAATCAGCTACAATCAAAGGAAGTTCTGGAGCAAATAATGTAAGAGACCCACTTACCACGCCACATTGGCAAACTGAGGGGAAATAAACTTGGTGGTCTGCTTCGGTTCAGGCTTCCAGGCAGTATCCCAACCTTCACACAAATCTAATGACGAAGTGTAGCGCTTATATATGCTTGGTGCCTCCATGTACCAATGTCTATGTGCTTAAATAAATAAACTTAATGAGTAGTGAAGAAGTTAAAATAACAGTAGTGTCAAGGACTTAAAAAATATTATGGATGTAGTAATTATGGTTCCAAGAAACTGTATTAGCTTAACAAAAAGTATGAAACACCATTGAAACTAAAGATTCAGAGAAAGACAACGAATGAAAGCGTATGTACCATTGCAACCTATTTCGAGTCTTCTAAACACAAGGTCTTCAACCGTTGATTAGTGTTATCCCGCAGACACTGACTACAAAGTGTACACCTAGTAACAGTTTAAATCGACAGTCTTGGTTCAACTGCCTGTAGCTTTATTCCCATCTCCTTTCATATTTGACTGGAAAGAGTCCTTTAAATTCCTAATAATTTTATATTGACAAGACTAGGTGTGCGTGTTTAGCCCCTTCGCCCCGGGTTTTTTAATCTAAGGCGGATGACGTATAGCTTTCGTTGCCTTTTTTTAATTACTTTCACTTTTACGTCAATCAATCAGTTAATTGTTGAGGTCGCAACAAATTTACCCTGTTCTTTTTTAAAACTTTTCTTTACACAGACGGTGTAATGGTTTGAAGCAGTTCAGACTTGTCGCGTTGCCGGAAATCCTTACACTTCACTTGAAAAGATTCAGTAGTAATCATTTATATTCCTCGAAATTATCATCTCCAGTGAATTTCCCGTTGAAGAATTTAGATCTTTCACCATTCCTTCATCGTGATTGTAGAGATAAAGTAAGAATTATTTCCTATTTTTTCTCTCTACCTTTTTCTGATATATATTTTCATGTCAATTCAAGGTGCTTGTTTTTAATAACGAATTGGTTACGTTTTTAATCGGTTGATGAAATAGGCCCCCAAATGCCCTGGTACGACCGAGAGTGAAGAGTGGCCAACCTCCCTCCCGAAATGCTCTCACATGGCCACGCGTATATAGCCTCTGCCAGGGAAGTCCTACTCACCTTAGGTCACCTTAGGCTTGGGGTTTGGTCCTCTAAGAAAACCACCTGCTTCGGTCTGGGCACCTGGACGGTATCACAACTCTCACCAAATCAAGTGAGATTTGTGTGGCGCATATGTGTCCGGTGTCCCTTTGTACCAATATTTATGTGTTTAAATAAAATAAAAATGACGAAGTAGGTTTGTTTAATTTTCTAGGTCAAAGTTCTGTTCATCGGGAAACACCAGACTTTCTTCCATTAATAATCGTTGAAACAATTTTTTCGACAAAATTAAGCTACATTGGTAAAAAGAAAAACTGTCCTAGTGTTTAGGTTTATACGTTAAATTATAATTATTGGAAAAAGTCATTCATTAATTATATATGCTGAATAATTTTTCAAATTATTTCATTTTCGTTGAAATATGTTAGCGAAACTTTGTACTTATCTACGAAACTAATTCACATATCTATAAAAAAATATTTAAAACGGAAGTATGGGGTTGTAACCGTATTCCTTTTATGGTATGTTAACATTAAACTGAGGGAATAGTGCGGGCATTCAATGGCTGTTTCATCCTTGAATAGCATTTTTATCAGAATGTTTATCGATGAAGTCTTTTTTTCATCACAGGATTCTATGAATTTTAACTCACCTGTTTTTGTTAATGTAGTATGAGAGTATGAGCCAATAGACATCTGTTCCACATTTAAACCTTCCACCAAATCTACATTTTGTTTACTTTTACTCTTGATATTGATTATGTCTAAGTTAAAGTGATCGTTGGAGAAAAGTGTGCTTGGTGTTGTTACATGACATGTGCATAGTGTTCGCATTCATTTATTTTTATTTTATTTAAACACATAAAAATTGGTACAATGAAGCACCAGATAAATATGCGCCTCACAAATCTCATTCGATTTGTGTGAGGGCTGTGATACTGCCCAGGTGCCCAGATTGAAGCAGGTGGTTTTCTTAGAGGGCCACACCCGGAGCCTTTGACCTGAATGTCTGATCCACAAGGCAGTGGAGCATCGTAAGGAGATGCAGTCCCATGGTAGCCGTTGACCAATGACAGGTTCGTCCGCCATTCGTTCCATCAGGATACTGGAGCCCATGTGCACCATTGGTTTGGAATCAGGGTTTTCCAACTCCCCTAGTTGGACCCTCCGTGTCCACCAATCCGGTTATAGCGCCGGACATTCGCTTTTCGTCCTCTCAATTTCGTAAACAACAGTAATGCCACGAGAAGGCAGTGATTAGGACTTCCCTGGCAGAGGCTATATATTCGCTGGCCATGTGAGAGCATTTCGAGAGGGAGAGTAGACTCTCCCCACTCTCGGCAGTACCAGGGCATTTGGGGGCAAAGTAGTTCGCATTCAACATAACTTCTTAATTGAACCGTGTTACCATTATGTATAAGACATTCCAATTGTGTTGCTACCTAGTTACAACCTTCCACATTACCTTTGAATGCATTAAATAAATGCCTTTTCATTGATATTTCTGTATTAGATTACAACTTATGATTTAATTGGTGTCATCTGTCATTATGGCGGTTGTGGTGGTGGTCATTACACTACATGTGCTTATAATCCCCCAACGGAACATTGGTATGAATTCAATGATGAACATGTACGAAAATTAGATGCTGAACAAATGGAATCATTGAAAAGTTCAGCATATATCCTGTTTTATCGGTAAGTGATATTATGCATTGATCTCTCTTTAAAAACCGTACTATATTATAATTTAGTGTGTTGTAGTATATGATACATGTACATGTACATTTTGCATAAACTTTATTGCCATTTTCACCTTTTATTTTATCACATCTTTTTTTTAATGAGATGTCTTACATATAGTTTCATTATTTGCTTCTATTTAATTATTACCCGAGTTGTTTCTTAGTGTTAATAATTTGATTGTCTTGGTAGCGATCAAATCACTTTAATTCAAGCTATCATTTATCAGTCCGAACCTACTGTGGTATAAAGTACAACTGGCCCTCGAACGAAATATCAGACTAATTTTCCAGATAGAGATTCCTTTACTTAGCTTTAAGGTGTACTGCAAATACGAGGGCTGGTTACACTACTCGATTGCTCATACTAAATTAAGTGGTGCTGACTTCGAACCTGCAAGGGATAAAAGTCGAATGTCTTAATCACTGAGCCATCGCTCTCAAACCTGAATAGACAATTCTGTGTCTTATTATTAAGTTATCACTCCATCCATGTTAGCTTAAATGGACATAGTGGGGCGAGCTGTATTTAAATAAGCGTACGGTAACCATACCTAAACATAATATCAAACCATAATTAACTCAATTTTGTAACATTTATACTATGTCCCAATAACATTAGTGAATGGTAACTTTGGGATTTATTTATGAACCAATATAATGTATACATTTTTTAAATCGTATAATTGCTAAATGGCTAAACTATTCATATTCATGTCCCTTTTATTGTAAGCTTCATATTGACCCATAGACTATTATTATACGACTTACCGTTGTTGAATTATATTCAGTCTATTAATTACTGCCTCCCACATTCACAGCCACATTTGGCTAAATCTTATACACATGTTATTTTCTATTTTATTGGTAAGATGTGGTCAGTCTGTTAGGTATATAAACTCAGTATGTTTGAAATACAAGGATTCATACCACAGAAGCTGTTATTGATGTTCTGGACTTAACTAGCTGGGCTAGGCAGAAGCAACACCGATAAGCACTCTAGACTGCTCGTACAGTTATCGCGTGTCACTGTTCCAATCGATAATTCGCTGCTCTCTGATTGACGGTTTTATCAAGTCACTCATTAACTGGGTATCCACTCAGCCACAAGATATAACAATCTAACATTTAGTTGAATTGTTGCATATGATTGTTTACAAAAATTACTGGATAATTCTTTTTACTTAGGATTGTGAACAATTTGTTTTTTTATAGTTTCTCTGTAGCATCAATAGGTCTAATCTCTCTAGTTAGTGTTTTGTTTTTATTCGCCATCAAATTACAATGATTATTAGTTTGTTTTCGTGTACTTCGGTAAAGATTTGTCTACATTTACTAAGTGATAATACTCTGGTATTTCTCTCTGTTCTTTGTTTATATAAACTTTATCAATTACATCGGTTGATCAATTATTCGTTGTTTTTAAGAAAAAAATTATTTTGAAGATAGTTTTGTCTACGATCTCACCTCACGATATTCGAACCCAGGACCTACCAGTCTCGCGCCACTAGACCACTGAGCCGGCTGGTATTCAACAGTGGTGATGTCGAACTTCAACCAATCCATAAAATTGAGCAACTATTTACCAATGTCTTCAGTGGGTTAATATCTCTATCGGCTAAGTGCACTGACGCGAGACTGGTAGGTTCTGGGTTCAAATCTCGTGAGGTGGGATCGTGGATGCGCACTGCTGAGGAGTCCCACAATGGGACGAAACGGCTGTTCAGTGCCTCCATGTTTTCCATGGTGGTCTAGCTTCAATTGACTCATAATCTCAACTATATAAAATTACTAAAATTTCCACAAAACCCCCTTCTGATAATTATTTTAAACCAGCGACCATCTTCTAAATCATATTGATGAAAATTAGTAAAGCAAACAACGGTAAATATCGATGTCTAGTTAAAAAGGTGTTGACTGCTGTGAAAAGTTTTTTAAAAAAATTTTCAAGGTGCATATGGAGGCAAGTTTCTACAAAGATAAGAACTTACACATCTTGAAGCGTATTCCACAACAATTGAACCTAATTAATTAGGTTGTTTTTAACAGTGTGATTGACTGTTATCCTTTTGATAGTTGGTCCAATATTGACATTTCAGAAGTTTACAAAATTGTTATGTTTGAAGCTATTACGAGGTCACCTAATCTGAAAGCGGAACAAATACTCTGTGAGCAAACACCAATAAGCTGGCTATTCTGTTGCGTCTCAGCCCCTCAAACTAGAGAGAGAAGTCCAAGTTCGAAGTGGGAAAATATGTTTCGCAATCAGCCATAAGCCCAAGCAATCACATCAGGCAAAAATCAAACATTTATATACAGCATGAAAATGTCCTTGGGAAGCGTTACAAAATACTATGCTAAAAGGTACAACGAACCAATAGCGTTTAAGATCCTCCCAAGTAGGAAATACAACATGAATGTGAAAATTAGCACTTTTGGCGCGAAAACAAGAAATTCAAATCTTTAAAATAAAATTACAAAGATAAAGCGTTTACCAAATGATTTCTGGGGATCTATCATCCTCAACACCTCCCCTTTTTAATAACGAACGTTCTTGGGGTCCACTTGTATCTTGACCGCCTGTCGCCGTTGACGCAGTGACCACCTTCTGGATCGTAGATCTATCTGTCGTTGTGCTTCTTCCTGTGCTTTTGGGACTACGGGGAGATTAAAGGTATCATCCCGTCATATCAAAAATACTAATAGTTTCGAATTTATTGCATTGCATTCGGGACATCACCTGTGAACAACTAAGCCTGGATATAATGGTGTACATATCTAACTATAATCATTTCGCGACATTGTGCTATTATTTTTGATTGTCTGTGGTGAATAACTGTTACATACCAAAGATAGTTGAACTCCATGGGGCAGGACTTCTCAAATATGTTGAGTATGAAATATTTATCCACCGCAGGCTGTGAAAAATATTGCGCAATATCGTTAATGGAAGTGCACCATTGGATGATTGTTCAGTGTCCGTGCGCAAGACCGAAGATCTTGGTTTGATCCCCTACAGTAGTGGGGTTGTAGGTGCGTACCTCTGAAGAGTCTCATAGTAGGATGGAACAGTTATTCAGTGATTCCTGGTTTGCAATAGTGGTCTTGGTAAAATTTGTGATTTAACTTATTCGAATTTATCAATGTAAAAGATTGTATTAAATTTCACAACAAACATTTACCTTTTTTTTAGAAAAAGTGATATACATTTGGAACCAATACGTCATTCTTTACAAGTACGTGTCAATAGTAGGTGTTTTGTGTTTATAGTGCTTCTTTGTCCTAAACTACACTACATGATGTGGGTTTGTTTTCATCTGTGTCCTAATTAACAGAAAACCTTAAATGTGATTTCAGTCGACAATTGAATACTGAATGTCGGACTGCCTTGTGGTTATGAGAATGTTTTTTATGTGGCGGTGATTTATGTTCAAATTTCTCGTTAGTTCACATGTTGGGATCCTGTTTAATCAATTTTAGTTTAGAGAAACCAAATAGTGTTACTGAGCACTCTCAAATAGACAGATGGGAGGAAAGTTGATTGTATTAAATGTTATTTAGTTAAGTTCCATTAAATCGTAGCGTATCCACATTAATTTACCCTATATGGCATGTAAATCAATAAGAAATGATTTTAGGTGGATTAAAGTGAACATATTGTACCGAATAGCAGAGGAAGACAATCTAAATTTAATTGATAATGGATTGTTTATTTATTAGTGTTCTTAACAAATCTTTTCATTGGTTGAACTAACAACAAGAATCTTTTGATGATCTTGTTACTACTTATTAAGTTATCTTTTTAGCGTTTACTTTATGGTGTTTCATTGTTTTATCAATCTGTTTTTTGTTTCTGAGTGTTGACGCGTTTATTTGAGAATATACAATGAAATAGTAATGGTTTCTAGAGAAATCATGTCTTCAGTTTGTAAAAAATATCAGTTATATTAAATACGATGCTACTTAGTGTGAATAATGTTTTTAGACAATAGTGAACCTAAAGCAAATATATCATAGTCCAACCTTACATATTCCACTTCATTAGATCCATCATTTAGAATGTGAATGGAGAAAGACTATCGAAATCTGTACTTTAAGTGGTTGAATACGGATATTAGTGTAATGTCTTTATAATAAAGTGTAAATCCTTCTGAGATGCTGTGAAACACAAATCTTTTCTTATTCTCTCCATCAGTTAACACTTTATAAGCTTTTTTCTTTCAATCATCGACTGTATATATCTGCTTTTTTATTGTCTCAGTTCATTTTTTTGTCAAAAATTTTACAATTATTGATTTTGGTATTGAACTCTCCCTAATGTATAAGTGATGTTTTACTTTTTTAAGTGTGCCCTGACAATAAACCAAACACTCATAATTCGAAAATCATATCACACTCTCGCTTCATCTTAGTTAGTTAAATAGCTACAACGTAGGACCAGGCACATTTATGCATCGGTCCAAGTTGCCATACCTCGTTAGTACAACAAGACGAACACCGGATTCATAGAAGTAATTAATTTAGTGGTGGTAGTATATCAAGAAAGGCTGTATATAAGGATATAGTACAGGAAGGAAGAGAGATATGAATCAACTTTAATATCAAGGTTTAAGGGAAGATAAAGAGTGTATACACCTACGCCATTGTGATCGATTCTGAGCCATGTCACCTAGAGTCTCCAACCATTGGTTACGATAGTCACGCGGACCCCAACCAGGTAGTCTGCATCTACCAACATGGCTCAGACTAGAAGTTAGTGACTTCAAACACTGATGCCATGTTTTGGTTTGGCCGCAACTAACTCTCTTCCAACCATCCCCAACACTAGTCATCATAGCACATCGTGGTAATCGGTGTTCAGGCATACGTAACACATGGCCCAACCATCTCAGTCGATGAAGATTCATCACCTCATCAACTGGTTTACCATCGTTCCCTAATACCCTCTGTCTAACCTCACTATTACTTACCCGGTTATCCCAGCAGATGCGAGCAATATTTCTAAGGCATCTGTGGTCAAATACTAGTAACCTACGAGTATCTTCTACTCTTAATGGCCATGTTTTACAACCATAAAGTAGAACAGAGCGAACTGCTGCGCAGTATACTCGTCCCTTAATTGATAGACGGATATCTCGTCTTCGCCATAGGTGACGTAAGTTGGCAAAAGCCAAACGAGCTTTTTGAAACCGTGCTGAGATTTCGTCAGACACCAAACCATTAGGGCTGATCAGACTTCCAAGATAAGTGAAGTTGTCGACGCGTTCGACTACTTCTCTCCCTATCCTTAGTTCGGGTGTTGACGCAGGCCAGTCCTGGAGTAACAATTTGCATTTGGATGGGGAGAAACGCATCCCAAACATCCTGGCATTATTACGGAGTTCCAACAGAAGACTCTGCATTTTGCCAGCGTCTTCACCAAACAGGACTATGTCATCGCTTCATCTATTTCTGTTTGGTCAACTGGGTGAAGTCTAATCAACCCTCAGAGATCGAGTGCATTTGTCAATACATCGAAAATTAGTTAATTATATTTGTGTATTCTTCTAAAAACTCTTATCTATTTATATTATCGAATATATATACACGTGAAATTCACTTATATACATATATAAGAACTTTCATCTAAATTTGAACGAATAGTTTCATAGTATTCGGGCGCTAAGTTGATGTAAGGCATTAAAGAGGAAGAATGTATTTGTAAAATCTCAGAGAATGAATTTGAAGTAAATCCAACATTTTGGTCGGCAATCTGGTCCAAGGTTTTTCAAGAAAACATAATCAAATAACAAAATTATTGAATATTATTAGGTAAAAGATTTTTCGGTTGTTTATTTAAACGCATAAATATTGGTACAAAGGGGTATCAGATATATATGCGCCACACAAATCTCATTTGATTTGTGTGAGGGCTGTGATACTGCCCATGTGCCCAAACTGGAGCAGGTGGTTTTCTTAGGGAACCACACCCCGAGCCTTTGACCTGAAGATCTGATCCACAAGGCGACGCAGTCCCATGTTAGCCGGTGACCAACGATTGATTCATACGCCATTTGTTCTCTCAATATACTGGATCCCATGTGCACCACTGGTTTTGGATCAGGGTTTTCCAACTCCCCTAGGTGGACTTTCCACGTCCACCAACCCAGTTAAAGTTCTGGACATTCACTTTTCGTCCTCTCAATTTCGTAAACAAAAGTAATGCCACGAGAAGGCGATGAGTAGGACTTCCCTGTCAGAGGCTATATACGCGAGGCCATGTGAGAGCATTTGAAAGGGAGAGTAGACTTTCCCCACTCTCGGCCGTACCAGGGCATTTGAGGGCTAACTGTACACTAAATAGATCATCCAATCATGTTAACAATGTTTAAAGGTAGGTATTTGCTTTAGTGTGTACGAGACATGTGATGTGAAACGAAAAGTGTGTATTCGTAAGTGGATCTGAGGTGTGAGAAGAAATTTCATTCACTATTTTTATTGCTTCTGATCGGTGAATTCTTTTTAAAGAAAACATACAATTTTTATATGTGATAAGAATAGTGAATGAAACTTCTTATCGCACCTCAAATCCACTTACGTATACACACAATCTGTTATCTTAACACTTAGTTTCACTGCACATGTCTTTTACACACTAAAGCAAATACCTACCTATAAACATTGTTAACACGATTGGATGATCTATTTAGTATACAGTTAACCGAAGAACCATTTACCTATTTATATTCAATAATTTTGTTATTTGATTATATTTCCTTGAAAATCCTTGGACCAGATTGCCGACCGAAATGTTGAATTTTCTTCAAATTCATTCTCTGAGATTTTACAAGTACTTTCTTCTTCCTTAATATACATATCTCTTTTGTGACCATGAGCTATCGTAGTTACCACTCTTTTCACAATTGACACCAAAGATTTTCAGCCTATGTAGCGTTTATCCTTCTTTTTAAGTAATAATAAAAGAAATCACTAAAATCACTCTCTATAATTAATTCATTTCTGTTAAATTTTTATATTATTTTTTGTTTAAAGATGGCACCATCTGGTAAAATGTGTTATGTAAGCAAACCTTGGGTTGTTCGTTTTTGGACATGGGCTGAACCAGGTCCAATGACATCAGAATTTTTCTGTGAACATGGTTATTTTCGACCAGAATTATGGGAGATGCGTAATTCATTAATTTTAACTGTCCCGGAAAATATTTGGTGTAATCTTCATAAAATGTAAGTCCAATATACAATGATTTGAACTATTGACTAATTAACTAATTTAGTTATTCACTTAGTTTGTTCGAATCTTCCCATCGATGTTTTTAGGACTGCAACTGGTCAGTCTCTAATTGGCATATGTGCATACTGTGAGTATTGCCTCGATATAGCCTAAATTCACAAGCATTGTAAGCAAAGATGGATAGTGGCTAGCAATGGGAAGATTCAAACAAGTGAATTTAAACTTCACCCCATTGCACAAGCAAGTGGCTATCAGGACTCAGTAGGTGAGTGGATAACGCGATGGCGTTTAAAGCGAACGGTACTGGGTTCGAGTCCCAGAGTGAACATCAACTCTGAAATGCTGGTGCATCCAGCTGACAAGTCCCAAATGAGACAACAAAACGCGCGTCCTGGATTCCACTGCTAGCCACTATCCATCTTTGCTTAGTTTATTTATATTTTCGACCGTATTTATCTATATTGTTTGATATATATATACAATATTCCGTTTACGTAAAGTAAAAAATCCTCAATAAAACAGTGACCAACCAAGGAAATATTAATAGCTCAATGCTGGAGTACAGTTTCAGTTTGATTGTTGTGTTTTATTTCAGCAGAAAATACAAGTCTATATTTTATGAAGTCAACGTTTAGAAAATTAAAGTTACTTTATGAATGTGGATTATTTAACATTAAGTATAGGAAAAATTCAAGGGATTGCACGTATAAGCTAATACCTTGGATTGAGCAACTCTGAAGTGTATGCAGAGGGTACCAGGTAAAAAAAAGACAAATTTGTTAGTGAAGTAGCGAATCTTCACTGGCTAAGATGATTTTAAAACGTATTGCGTATGTTTAACTGCAGCCTACCCACCTCATTGGATATTTTTGTCGGTTTGAAGAAATTTAGTGGGAACCGGACTGAAAAATGGCACCAGCTGTCCATGAATTTATTGAAATTTTGGCTGTCATATTATTATGTACAGAATACTTTGTTGGGATCCGTGTGATAATTGCAACCGGTGGTTAGAGTTTTGCTTGATATGGCTCAAAACCGTTCAGTATAAAATACAAATGCATGCACTCTGTCTTCTCTTCGATCCCAAGTCCGTAAATCTCGTTATGCCTTTTTTATACCTAATCTTCTCTATTATTATTATTATTATTATTATTATTATTATTATTATTATTATTACTGATACTGTTATTATTTCTACTGCTCTGGGATTTACCTTTATATTTTGTATATACCAGCAGCCCTAAGAATTGATTATCATGGGCTTTTATTGTATACGAAATATACACTGGATGTTTTAAATATTTTACTAAGAATTTTGGAAAAACAGCATTTTGCTCCAAGCTTGCTTAATATTGCTATATAATCTAGCACAAATTAAGCTCGTCAGTTATTTTTCAGGAAGGCGTTGTGAGTGTTAAGGGTTCGCGAGTGAGATCGAAGATCCTGGACTCGATTCTGGTATGCAGAGTCGTGGATGCACAATTTTGAGAAGTGCCATACTAAAACGAAACAGTCCTCCAATGCCTCTAGATTTTAAATCGTCGTTTAACTTAAATCAATTCATAGTTTCAATGAAATTATTTTTTGCTCAATAGTAGACAACCTGGAACAGATATCACACTACGTTTTCATTCAATGAAAACGAAAGGATAGGATAAAAAAACAAAAGAAGTTAAATTTGATTGCACACAATGTGTTATGTTATTTCTTAACTAGTGACTCCGTGAACGCCACACTGAATCAAACCGTATTTGATATAAACCAGAATAAAAATGGGTTAGAAACAGGGCATGTTTCGATGTTCAATACACAGTCACATAAAAGTTTGCATAGAATTTACATGAGATACTTCTGTTATCTTTATCATCCAATCGCTAGGACTAATCGGTTGAAAATGGATTCATTTGAATGTTTACTGAGGATGCAACTGGTAGCATCTCATCCTCCCAAGATTTTGATTGTAATGAATGAAACCTAATTACCATTAGATAAAAGCATTGTGTAAAATAGGGAAATAAAACAATAAGTAATTGTGATTTCGTATAACAATAAAAAAAAAACAAGGATCCTCAAAACTGATATCCCATTTCACCTAAAAAAAATTTCCATCATAAACTACAATTAGTTGCCACACTCAACTATAGAAATTCTATACCTTATCATACCGTAAGTAATGTTAATATAATATAAATCTACCTTGTATATTTATCAACCTATTTTTCAGCCGAATTTTTAACGAGCTATTTTCCTTGACTTTACTCACGTCTTTTCTCCTACTTTAAATTCTTTCAAGATACAATATTCCAATTGTCTTTTTTGTTTTGCTAATTCCTTGTTTATTTCTAGGAATCATGAGATCTCGTTTGTATACAGTGTTTACTATTTAAGTGTGCTTGTAATTATCTTTAAATCATGTGCTTATGGATTGTATTTTGTCTGTTCGTGCGCATACGTCTAATATTCACTAAAAAAAACACACTTGTTCTTAATTTTTTTATATAATGAATAATAGTTATTAGGGTGAACGAAAATCGATGATTGAAAGTTATATTTTTTTAAGTGGATTAAAACACCAATCAATCGACACTGATAAAGTGTTCATTGTTCAATTTTTCTTCGATTCAGCCAGTTTATGATACTGTTATATCTAGAAATTAGATTCTTGTTATGCCACGTACTACTTGAGCATTCGAACACTTGAACCCTTCAAGTCACAAGTTAGAAGATAGAAGACTAGTGGGAAGAAATCTTATTCTAAACAATGTCAAATATAATACTAAAGGTTCAGGTATTTATAGTTTTTAGTAAAAACGAAATCATCGTTATAGTCATCCAGTCCCCGCATGCAGTGGTATTTAGCATTTGTCCAATCGGGAAGCTACACACTGAGATTCTGGAATGTTCTTTTAAAAGATTATCGGATGGAATGTATTCAACTCTTTCCGAGCTTCCCTGAATTCACCGAAGGCCATCCCTGCAGATTCAATGCGTCTTATTGTATAAATTTATTTCTATGGTTTGCAACAATATTGTTCTGGATTTATTGACTTAGTCAATCAGGACACGTATTATGTTTATCTAGCTTACCGATTACGATGATACGCAAAGGTAAATGAGACAGGAGTATGTTGAAAACAAACCTGGAGTGGACAAATCAAGATGTGTTATCATTTCATAGAGTAACTGTATGCTTAGCTAAGCTTCGTGGGGTGGATTATAGAATTTTAAGTTGGAATCCATAACGTTATCGCTGTTCTATTCACTGATTATCATTTTTCTCAAAAGACCAATCCTCGATTTCCTATTTGTTAATGTTATTTTGTTTCTTTTCTGAATTATTTTCCTATGTTTAACTTTCCATTGATGGTTGGAATAATCAATTCCCCTGCCGTTCTTATTTTGTTAATTTCCTCTTTTGTTGTATTCAAATGAGATACATATTCGTATTAGATTCTAAATTGTCTTTGATTAGCTCTTCTAGGATCCGACGTTCGCATTCGAGCTGAGTAAACTTAATGTCTATATATATATATATATATATATATATATATATATATCTTTGTAATATCCTGTTGAGTATACGTTTCATAATGTTGCCTACTATTTGTGTTTTTTTGAAATCTACTTTATTCGCCTTATTTTTCTCGAAATTATAGGTTTGGTGGTCATGAAATTATTCATGAATTAATCCCGTGTAGTGATTGTTCTGATGCTATTTCCAAAAGACAGAAATATGAACTGTCAGAAATTATGAGGGTAATTATGATTTTATGCATCTTGTTGTTGAAATGATCATTGCTTTTTTTTGATGTTTTATTGTCAGAAGAAAAATCGGCACAGTTAACTCATATTGATAGATTAAGGATTATTTCGCTAATATATTAATGTATTATGTTACTAAATATTACAGATCCAATGTATATCATCAACTATATTGTTTACTATTACTTAAATATATAAATATTAGTGCAAGGAGGCACCGAATACATATGCGCCAAACAAGTCACTTGATTTCTGGGTGGGCTGTGATACTACCTGGGTACCCAAACCGAAGCACGTGGTTTTCTTAGAGGGTCACAGTATGAGCCTTTGACCTAGATGTCTAACCCACAAGGCAGTGGAGCAGCTTCATGAGATGCAGCCCCATGGTAACCAGTGACTAACAGTTGGTTCATACTCCATTTGTTTCCTTAAGATCTTGGCCTTAGAAATATTGCTCGCATCTGCTGGGATAACCGGGTAAGTAATAGTGAGGTTAGACAGAGGGTATTAGGGAACGATGGTAAACCAGTTGATGAGGTGATGAATCTTCATCGACTGAGATGGTTGGGCCATGTGTTACGTATGCCTGAACACCGATTACCACGATGTGCTATGATGACTAGTGTTGGGGATGGTTGGAAGAGAGTTAGTTGCGGCCAAACCAAAACATGGCATCAGTGTTTGAAGTCACTAACTTCTCGTCTGAGCCATGTTGGTAGATGCAGACTACCTGGTTGGGGTCCGCGTGACTATCGTAACCAGTGGTTGAAGACTCTGTGTGACATGGCTCAGAATCGATCACAATGGCGTAGGTGTATACACTCTTTATCTTCCCTTAAACCTTGATATTAAAGTTGATTCATATCTCTCTTCCTTCCTGTACTGTATCCTTATATACAGCCTTTCTTGATATACTACCACCACTAAATTAATTACTTCTATGAATCCGGTGTTCGTCTTGTTGTACTAACGAGGTATGGCAACTTGGACCGATGCATATATGTGCCTGGTCCTACGTTGTAGCTGACTGACTGACTTAAGATCTTGGAGCCCATTGGTTTGGAATCAGGGTTTTCCAACTCCCCTAGGTGGACTTTCTATGTCCACCAACCCGGTTAAAGTGATGGACATTCTCTTTTCGTCCTCTCAATTTCGTAAACAACAGTAACGTCGCGAGAAGGCGATGAGTAAGACTTCCTTGGCAGTATCTATATACTTGTAACCATGTGAGAGTATTTCGAGAGAGCGGACTCTTTTCACCTTCGGCCGTACCAGGGCATTCGAGGGTTATAGTGAATGCTATAAACAATACTAAAATTCTGTTTTCAGTAGATCCTGCACTCCCAACCGTTGCTGCTACTTTGATGTGGTGTTCGAGCTTGCTTAAACCAATCGGGCTATACTGACTGAGACAATTTCTCAAGGTCCTACTACGGTAGGTAGGTAAGTCGGTTGAAGAACTGTAAGACTAAAAGTAACAATCCCAAGTTTCGAGGACGAAGTCATACTGCTGACTCTACAGAAGTGTGACGGCAGGAAGGTGTTTCCATCATACAACCAGCATGCCAGCGATTCTGCTTTCCCACAAAGAGGGGTGGGGTTAGAAATATTCCACTCTAAGGATGCACACCTCACATTATCCCACGGATATCCGTCTCCATTGGTAAGGTCCCAACAAGTACAGCGCTAGCACGAAAATAATCTATAAAAAGGTCGTTTGTGACCGGCCTCAAGCAGTTGTCCGTTGGACTCAGTGATCACACTTTCAGGTCACTAAGACCAATTGTAACCTAATTTCCTTTTCAGGTACCTCCTCAGATGACTGACTGACTGATTATACATCAATTAAATGTTTTTCGGCAATAAATATATCATTATTCTATCATAATCTTGGATAAACTTATATTACTTATGAAGGATCCCCCCTTCATCATCGTCTGGATGAATAAAAACTAGCTATCAAACTCCATAATGTCTCTTCGCTTATATCATGTAGACACATAGTCGACTGAAAAAAACGTTTAAATGTCGGATAGAGGGCATTCTAAGAACACCAGACAAATTTTACAGGTTTGCTATTCAGGTCAACCAACAATCAATAAATAAATACATTCAAATCGATCCGATTTATCAAACAATTACAAAAATCATGCACAAACATAAGATCAAGAATCAAGTCAAAGGAACAGGCAATCAAAATAATTATGTAGACAACAACAGGTTGAGGGTTAGCAGTAACCAAACAAAATCAAAGTTGACAGGACAACCTATCAGTCATATTATGTAGAGGAACTTGAAAGCATCACTTCTACTTGAAGACTGTGTGCTGGTGATATTGTTTCGAAGAACGATGAAAGCTTCATGATAAATCATCCAAGTAAGAGAATGAAACTTCGCTAAAACAAAAGAAGTACTGGCCAAACGTCAATATATTCTAGTTGTTTTCAAAACTGATGCTGCATTCATATTGATGGTTACTTTATAGTATCATAATTAATCTGACATATTCAATCAGAAACAACTCATTTATTTCCAATGAATAAGTTTGTTTTAGGTTAGCTTAACATTTTTCAATTTTCATGAATTAAAACTATTATAGGTTAGTTCATCGGTCACTCCATCGTCCACATCTTATGCTGTCAGTAAAAAATGGTTGGATCTATGGCTTCAATTTGTCAAAGGACAAATATGGGGTAAGTTCAACTGGGAAATATCTGAATATTTATAGCGAAATGTTCATTTTCTCATTTTGTTCACATTTAAAAAATAATCAATTACTGTTTCTTAAGTCACTTCATCTATAAGGGTTTTATGAATCTTCTCGTCGTTAATGTTAAGAACTGAAATTATCCAGTCATCACTGACGGGAAGATTAGAACAACATTTACAAATGAATTAAAACTTCCCACCGTTTCAGAAACAGGCAATTATCTGGATTAAATAGTTACGTATACAATGTACTGCTTTCCAGTCTCAATATAAGCATCAGCATGGTTGTAGGTTTACCCAGGTGACTAATCTCTAATAGGACAAGACAGTCGCCATCCAGTGCTTCCATGTTCTCATTGGTTTTCTAACCAGTTCATTGTTTAAATAAAAATTAAAATACCTTGTTCATATTGAAAGTTAAAAAAAATCAATGATTATTTTGTTATATGGTAATTTATATTTATATCATTAGCATTTCACAATTATATAGTCACTTATCACCAGTTTTATAGAATCAAAAAATCCTATGACTTACGACCATTAATCAATGATATTTTCCGATTGGTTGTACCAGTAATTCGTTTTTTAACATAATCATACTACTTATAAGTAGCCAAACTGTTCTTGTTGCGTTTCTCAACCAAAGCGCGAGACTAATCTCGTTACGTATATTCCTAAATAATCAGAATTATCACGAGAGATTTCTTTTATTGAGTTTTATAGGGTACTATAATAATTTGTTTAGTTCTGTTCACTCAAAATATGGGATCGTGATTTAAAAGAATGTTTTTTTTCACAATTATCAATTATACGTTATTAAAGGTTTAGAATTCCCGGTTGTTTATATTCCAGACTGATATTGACCAGTCTCTGTTGCTTTATATGGATCCTGAGTGGATTTTCTCAGTAAAAAGTCATAAGTTTTAGTATATTTAGTATGTGACTAGCAGTGGAATCCAGGACGCACGTTTCGTCCTATACGGGACTCGTCAGCTGAATATACTTGCATCCCAGTATTGATGTCCTGCACACTGAAGTTCAGAATTGGATCTTTTCATCCTAATATTTCAGCCTGTATTTTACTGAGCTGTAGATTTCGGATTGACATTAATTCAGCTAGTCGCAACGTAGAACCTAGTACATATGTATATCGGTTCAATTTGCCATATATCATTAGCACAGCAGGATAAAATCATCAGGCAAAATCCCAAAGTAGTGGAGATAGTGACAGTATCAGTGGTGATTGAAAATAATAGGGATAAAAGATACGGTTCAAGGTAATATCAAATAATTAAATAAAACTTGACAAAAACGTTATGAATAATTTAGAAGCTCAGAATTTAGTGAATACAAGGAACGGATGCACCTTCGCCTTGCAAACGATTCTGGGCCTGGCCATTCAAAGTCTCTGATTGTTGGTTACTATAATCGTATAGACCCCAACCAGATAGTCTGCACCTATTGACATAGCTAAGTCTCATTGTCGGGTACTTGGTAAGGATGACAAATCGATTGATGAAGTAGTGAAACTTCATCAGTTGAGATGGCTGGGACACGTGTTACGTATGCCCAACCATTGACTGCCCCGACATTCAATGTTTTATGGTGTAGGAGTAGGTTGGAAGAAAGCTAGGGGCGGCAAGACTAAAATGTGGCATAAATCCATGAAGTCACTGACAAGTGGACTGAGCCATGTTGGTAGGTGTAGATTACGTGGTTGGGATTCGCGAGATGATAGCAACCGATGGTTAGAGACGTTGAATGACATGGCTCAAAATCGTTTTCAATGGCGAAGGTACATCCACTCTTTGTGTTATGCCGAATCCTTATCTATCTTTTTCTCTTTTCAAATTTATCTCACTGTATTATACTTCCTCAATAACATGTTCAAACCCTAATCTTTCACTTAATGCTTTTACTCCCACTACTTCTACCACTGTGGGATTTTAATCGACATTTGTATCTCTGTGCTAATGTGGTATGGCAACTCGAACTGATGTACGTACGTCCGAAGTTCTACATTGTGTCTGACTGACTGAATTGTCAATGACTCTATGAATTGATGCCATGTGTTGTTTGGTCGCTCCTAGCTTCCTTGCACCCTACTCCTGCCTTGAAAACATCGCACTTTGAGGTAGACGATTGTTGGACATATTTAACACATGTCCGAAACATCTCAAATGATAGAAATTTACTACCTTATCATTCGGTTCGCCATCCTTACCTAGTGGCTTATTCGTAACCCAGACATTGCTAACTTGGTGGACCCGAAATACACTACAAGTTCTTCGTATACACCTATGGTCGAATACAAGTAACCTACGAATATTCTTTACTTTTAGTGGTTATGTATTATATTCATAAAGTAGAAACGAGTGAACTGCTGCTCAGTAAACTCGCCCTTTGTTTGAGAGACGGATATTTTGCCTATGCCACAAGTAACGTAAATTGGCAGAAGCCAGTCGAACCTTCGGAATCCGTGTCGAGTTTCAGTCAGATGGCAAACCATCAGGACTAATGAGATTCCCAAAATAAGTGAGGCGTTCGATGTAATCAACCTCTTCACTCCTTATCATTAATTTAGGCGCTGACACAAGCAAATTCCGAAACAACATTTTTATTTGGAGTGAGAGGACCGCATCGTAAGCATGCTTACGTTGTTGCTTAAGCTGTTCAGTATACTTCATTTTGCTGGTATCTTCACCAACAAAACTATATCATCTGCGTATTCTAACTCAACAAGTAAATCTCTTGGTAGAAAATCAACCCCTGAAAATTCAGACGATGGAAGTATTATCTCCAAAAGTTATATAAAAATGTGGAAATTGGACAACTTTGAAAAATACTTCTTGAAGTAACTGATTTTGATGACATTTTGCCATACTCTCTGACTCAACAAGAAGTGTTCGAGCACAAAACCTGTACAAGGTCAATGTACTTCGTATTCTTTTCAATGATGGACACTACCATAGAACCTCACGATCAACGAAGTTGACCGCCGCCTTAAGGTCTAGGAATATAATTACTGTCAGACGTAGAAAAGTATGTCTATGTTCTAAAACTTGCCGAAGAATGAATATTTGGTCTTTATATCGAAATCCAGTTCTGGTTAGACGTCGAAGTACACTTTTAAGCTCACCAAAATTTTTCATTCAATGCTTCAGAACGAATCCCACTGACTGTTAATCTCTGATTTAAATTTTTATTCATAGACACTCATTTTTACAGTTTTCGTTTACGCATATAGATTTTTTATATATTGCTGATAAGTCTTCTGATAATGGAATACATTTTAACACTAGTGCAACTAGATTTTTGTTGTATACGCAGCATTTTGTTAATTTTAGTATTGTTCTTTGCATATACTTGTTTCTCTACTACAGAAGCTCCAGGTCCAATTGATAATTCCGACATTATGGCATGCAATAAATCCCTTTATTCTTATCGTAACAGTGGATCAATTAATTATTCCACTCTTTCATCAATGCCACTTGGGAATTACGAATATGTTTCTGCTGAAGTATGGAGTCTTCTGTTCAATATATATGGTGGAGGTCCAACAATATCTGTATGTCAACCTACTAATTCATCATCGATCAATAATAGCATAGATGAAAATCAGGTGGACGATTTGTCAGATCACAGTTCATCGGATCAACTATCACATAAAAGTTCACCGAATCCTACTCTTAATGAACAATCACCTCTTAATTCAGACCAAATTGATGAAGAAGTAGGTATTTTTTTATTGGTGTTATTGTTTTGAGAAAGTTATTAAGGTGTAGAAATACTTAGTTCATTCTGCCGAATAAATCAGTTAAAAATGACGTCAGTATAATATGTTGTTTTGTTCGAGTTTCATTTCCTTAGTCAAATACTTCATTGACTAATGCCACATTTTGGTTTGGACACCCTGAGCTTTCGTTGAATTTATTCTTGTACCACCACGACTAGATGTTAAAGTAGACTGTTATTTTGCATGTGTTTACACACGTCCCGACTATATTTTCTGTCGATGTGTCATTTTCAATAAACAATCGTCAAATAAGGTTGAGGTTGGAGGTAGTCCACAGGACACCCTGAATCTAGGTCAGCAAAGTGTACCTGTTATCGTGTGATATCATTGTGATACTGCCTGTTTGTGCATGCTTATTTTTGTCTAAATGCTTTGTAAACGATCATAGTAAAAATCTGGCTTAATATATAAGGATATATTTTATATCACTGACTGACCTTAGATAATCATTGAAAATCAGAATGCACTGGACATCTGTTTTAGTCCTAGCGTTTGACTCTGCAGTGTGTGCACCCACGCTTTCGTCAGCGATCGAATCCAAGAACTTCATTTTTCGTGGCAAGCCCTTAGACTTTATATAACTGAATCGATCTTCACTGATTTACATGTGTATTTGTTATCAATACTTAATCTTATTCACTGCTTCTCCTATCTTTTAAAAAAAAACATTTATCATCGAAAAGGATCGAAATAATGATTTGACTAATGGAAACAATCATATAAATGATGATATCTCTAATAGTTTGGATTGGTCTGACAATAAATCCCATTTGAATCATTGGAATGAAATGGATGAAGAAGTAAATTTGACAAATTCTCCCATAGATTCACTCTCATCCAACAGCACTAATAATGATATTACTATTCATCATATTGAAATGTACAATCAACAAAATGATCATCCAATTAAAAATAAATTAACTCAATCCACTGATTGTTCACAATTAAATGGTGATTGTTATTCATCATCTAGCAAAACATTGAACATGTTCAATGGTTGTTGTTCTATTGTTACAGACTCTAATTGTCAACTGAACAATCATTATCATAATGCTAAACAGAAATCTACCAATAATAATTTAACAGTTAGTAAAGGTGCCAGAAATGGTTATTTCGGTGATTATAATCCATTGGATTTGGTGAATCATAAAAATGTCTCTAAAGTAGAATCTTAACACCAACAACCAGTAAACGCATCAAATGAAAATTAAAACATATTGATCAACTTCATGTAGACACTGTTGAATAGTTCCTACATAAACATTTAAAGTTTTCAGTCCATTTGTGTGTTGCTTTTTATTAAGATTTAAATTATAAATAAGACTGTGATTCTATGTATTATTTTGAAATTTTCTTCTATATTGATTTATGAATGGTAATTGTTATTAATGTTGTTATGTTGTCAGAACCAAATTATTCTTTCCTTGTGACTCCTCAGGTGATGGTTGCTTTCTTTACTTTATAACATAATATAGCAAAGAATAATTGTAACTTGTAATTATTTTCTTTTTTTTGTTAGTTGAGGTGTGTGTGTGTGTGTCTCATGGAGATTACATGTTTCGAGAATGATCACAGCATCGAGCTAGATAAGCAATACAGTGTTTATGTGTGTGTGTGTGTGACTTGTAATTTTAAGTGTTTTATTCCTTTCATTGAAAAAAAAAGCACTAACTTCACTCTTCAAAATTGTATATTGACTGGATTCGAACTGTTGTTTCATTTGAACAATTTATTGATTTTATGGTTTCTTTTTGTCCCATTTATACGTCAGTGTTTCCTCATTAATTTAATATTAAGGGTAATAATTATTATAAACATTGGTCTCCAATGTCTTCTTTATTTGTATGTGTATGTTTAAACACCCTGGTATAATATTTTGCTTTTTGTTTAAAATTCACATGTGTATAATTTTATCTGCATAGTAACCATCCATTCATTCGTTCATTCATTCATATTTATTCATTTATAATAATACATAATAAAATCATGAAAAAAAATGTATCCACATCACTTGCTCTTTGTGTGACCTATTCCATTACTATTACTAATCTTACTACGACTACTACTACTGTTATTATTGATAAATAAGTAGTAGTGTTTAGTGTTATTGATTCATTTTTACTCAGTGATTTTCTATCACATTAATGATGAAAGTCTCCATGGTATAGATGCAGAAGTGTAACCAACTTGTGTTCTGCTCCGTTTTAAATGGATATAATACTTGTCACATGTACAAATCATTATTATTATTACTGATTTTCTATTTTCTGTTATGCAGTAAGTAATTTTCATGCATATAATGTTATCTATATACTCAGAAAAATGTACATTGTCTTGTTTGTTTGTTTATAAATATATATTCGACTATTCTATGCAACTTTTTTTTATTTCAGTCATGATCAATATCATAGTGCGGTTTTCTAGTTTACGGCTGTGAAACATGGCCATTAAAAGTAAATGATACTCGTAAGTTACTAGGATTTGACCACAAATGTCTTAGAAATATTGCTCGCATCTGCTGGGATAACCGGTTAAGTAATAGTGAGTTTAGACACAGGGTATTAAGGAATGATGGTAAATCAGTTGATGAGGTGATGAATCTTCATCGACTGAGATGGTTGGGCCATGTGTTACGTATGCCTGAACACCGATTACCACGACGCGCTATGCTGACTAGTGTTGGGGATGGTTGGAAGAGAGTTAGGGGTTGCTAAACCAAAACGTGGCATCAGAGCGTGAAGTCACTTCTAGTCTGAGCCATGTTGGTAGATGCAGACTACTTGGTTGGGGTCCGCTTGATTATCGTAACCAATGGTTGGAAACTCTGAGTGACATGACTTAGAATCGATCACAATGGCGTAGGTGTATACACTCTTTATCTTCCCTTAAACCTTGATATTAAAGTCGATTCATAACTTCCTTCCTATACTATATCCTTATATACAACCTCTCTTCTATATATTACCACCACTAAATTAACTACTTCTATGAATTCGGTGTTCATCTTGTTGTGCTAACGATGTGTGGCAACTTGTAACGATGCATATATGTGCTTGGTCCTACGTTGTAGCTGACCTAGCGGTTTTAATAGGTCACAGTAACATGGATATTTTGTTCCATTATTATTATTATTCTCATGTATTGCCAAGAACAAATGTATATTTATGATATTTGTCGCAAATTTTTATGTTTTTCTCGATGTAGGTTTAGTGAGCGATAGAAAGAGATGTAATGTGTATCTTGTTCTTTAAGGTTTGTGTGTTTATTTGTGAAGCATTCTGTTTTCTTCTTTATGAAGTAAAATAAGCATGTTGTTGTTTAGATAGACAATAAACTGCTCTTGGAGGAAATCATTCGGTTCAGAGTAGACAACACCCTTATCATTTCAAAGGAGTATACATTCTTATATGTATTGAAATGATTTCAGATCCTACATTTAACGTTTTGGGAAATTCTTAAATGAATAAAGTTGTAATTTTGATGAATTCGAAGATGTATTTAAAAAAACGCAGGTTTGAACACATTCACATAAGAATGTATCCATTTTTGGGGCGGTCCTGAAAATTTCTTGCAATAGACATGAGAAGCTCAGGAAACACTAAGAAGCATTTTATCCAATCAGCGTTTGACTAGAAGTTTTGCTAGAAACATCACGAAAATAAAAAGTCACATGTAGAGTTTCTGATTATAGCACTGCTTATGTTTAGTAGCATTCCAGAATTTTCAGGTAAACCCAAGGACTTCTAAAATACTATAAAAACCCTATATTTTTTGTACATAAATGAACCTTTGGAGTAAAGTGGTCCCCGCATATCTTGTGCCTTTTCTTTCGTGTTCAAGTCACTGTGTAGTTCTAGCTTAGGATCCGAATATACTGTGTTCTTCTTATATCGACAGATATAAGTAGTATGTAACACTAATCGAAAGTGGAAAACCTGGCAGCCGAAGGCTATAAAGGTTGATTTGAAGAGATTAGAAAGGAGTTGTGAATCTGAAGAATCATGCAGAATGTGGAAGACAAATGATATAAATTTGAAAATGACGTATTTCATGTATGGTCCTCATATTTTACCAAGACTTTCTGTAATTTTGTATTAGGATACACTTGTTCGTCCCAACTGTGTTTTTATTCATTACAGTATAACCACATAACAACAGTTAGTAGGAGATAAAAATATAACGCTGTATCCTACTACTGAGCTTTAAGTTTTAATATGTTTGATAGCAGAATAGTTAGAGTAGGTGTGTAGGGGCTCGAACTTGTAAACATAATAACTAAAAGACTGGCGATTAAGCCAAAAAAATAAGTTATCTTGGTTTCAATTTTTATTATACTTCATTTATATCTTTGAAGACTGCTATACTTCAAGAAATGCTTAGGAAATTCATGTTCTCTTTGTCTTTTAATTGATTACTACAAATTAATCAACTCTGATTTCTTAACTTCATGACTATTGATGACAAAGTTAAATTGTTGGATAAAACATTATTGAGAAGTGGTTATCCTCTAAAGTTTATAAATCGATGGAGAGGTCACAGTACAGTAAAACCTACTATAGCTTTTGGACAAAAATAGCTGTCTACATCACCTTACCTTTCAAAGGTGAGTCAAATAACTTTTTATTGAAACAAAGGATTGAATCGGTTATTAACAAAACATACTGTATAAGAAAAGTCATTATCAGGGAATAAACAAGGTCCATGTTTCATCAAAAACCTAAAAAACATGAAAGTGATTGCGTCAGATCCCACTGTGTTTACTAATTTAAATGTGTGTGACCACATACATAGGGAGGAGCATTCATGATGTGCAAATTAGGGTATCTAAGCATATACCTAAATCGTTACAAAAACAATTAAATTTAAATGACCCAATAAGTTGTTTACGCAAAATACTCAACAATCACTGGCCGAATACTATCAGCAACAGCGTTTTATGGGAGAGGACAAACCAGCTGAAGAGGAAAAGACGTCGGAAGTGGGTCGGACATACATTGAAGAAATCACCAAAATGCATCACGAGGCAATCCCTAACTTGGAACCCGAAAGGGAAGCGGAAAAGAGGAAGTCCAAAGAACACATTACATCGGGAAATAGAAGCCGATATGAAAAGGATGAATGTTAAATGGAAAGGATTGCCCAGGACAGGGTTGGATGGAGAATGTTGGTGGTTGGCCTATGGTCCTCGAGGAGGGATAACAGGCGTAAGTAAGTAAGTAAGACCCAATAAGAGTAGATGATAAACATCCATCATCGCCTATTGCCAAATATTTAGTTGAAACAGGTCATAAGATTGATCTTAACACGGCCTTTGTGGTGTTATACAAATGTGTGAAAGGACATATACTAAGGTTTATTGGGACTTAAGCCACACGAAAATTCAAACCCTTTTCATGTATTCAAAATCAGTTTGTTCTCACCTCAAACGTACCCTGGTAATTTTAGCCTATTATCCAGCGTGATGAGTTTTCACATTATTTTCTTTATTATCTTCGTCTTATCCTACCCTCTGTTAGACCTTTTATATATAAATGTTTTAAACTAGTATGTATGTAATCAGATTGTTCGAAATGTATTGTGCTAATAAATCACATAGTCCTGATACTCTTTGTCTTCGTACTTGAAATTTTCGAATACCTTTAGTGGTGTGACAACTAGCTTCAGTAAATAAATATTGTTGAAAAGATTATCTTCACTGAATAGTCCCTACTTTCTACAGATGAATTTCAACATTTATTGGCGTCTTCAACTAATTGTTAGGCTTTTGAAGGTAGTCAACAGGAAGCACCAGACTTAGATCTTATTATAGTTGGCATTCGTCGACAACAAATACCTGTGATTTTGTGGGAACTGGTTCTGCCTGTGGATTTCGAAACCGTATCACCACCGAGCTATTATATCAGTTCTGTTCAACAGATCAGATAAATATGGCATTGGCAACTACTCAGTTGTCCGGTAATCATAATGTCACTAAAAATGTGTTCAATTATATTTATATATTGTGTTATTTCTTTCTGTATGATCACATGAATTATAACTGTGATTGAACTACAATGTTTTTCGGTACAGTAGTTTTCGAGTTTGATCTTTTCATTTCACTATTTGGTATCGTTGACCAGTCGAAACATTTAAATTTTGTAATCGTTTTGGCTCGAAATCTTTTTTTCAAATTTTCTTCAAATATCTCAATTTGTTTATCAGGATTCATTTGAGATAGGACTAGTTCTTCATGAGTTTCTGCTTGAATAGATACGTTTCTTTTCCTGGAATTTACATAAAAATAGATTATAGAGTTAGTTTGTTTGGAATAACTATATTTAGACAGAAATACTTTAAACAGACAATTTTCGATTATATGTGGTTAAGATCATGAGTCAATTGAAGCTAGACCACTGTGGAAAACCTGGAAGCACTGAACGGTCGTTTCGTTCTATTACAGGATAACACGAGAATTAGACTTCTTCGTAATGGAATTTGTTTTTTATCGACACCCGGATTCGGAGTCACCAGCAATTGTAGCCCACCACAGCAAAAAATTACTTTCCGACGAAATCATTTAGTTAAGCTGCACATTTGTATTTATAGTTGTTTGGTAAAAATATTTCTATAGAATGATAGAGAAGATTCGAGACTCCAATTATCAAGTGATGTTACGTAACAATCACGGGTTAGAAGAGAATAGAAGGATGAAAATAGTTTACAGGTCAGAATTACGAATATCAATTGTCCGTTTGACGGACATGAAGAAAAATGAAAAAAACATAAAGGTCATTACAATAATAACAATTGAATAATAATCATGAAATTCGTGTATATATAATTCACTCTTTGTCCTTGAGAACTAAGCGACTATGTTCTAATGACACAATAGATGATGAACTCCTTCAACTTCGACAGATACTCATCAGAAATGGTTATCCACCTAGAATTGTCGATAGGACATTTTCACCAAGACAACATCCTGAAAAAGCACAGACCGTTCAAAGGAAAGCTCTTTTTATGACTATTGAATTTAAGGGTGATATAGCTACCAAAATCTTGAATAAACTGATTTCATAATCCGTGAATAAAACTTATTCAGCTAAGCTTTTTACTGTCCTCTCAACCTGGCCTTGGGCTCACGGATGTGTTAAGGATAAACTTCCACTTTAGGATACATCGATGTGGATTTATAAATTTATTTGCTTTCGTGTTGGGGCAGGGTTACATTGGCCACGCAAAGCGGTTACTTTCCAAATCCGTCTCGGAACATCATGCGGCGTGGCTTTTAAGAACAGAATACGAAGCTATCACTAGTTCAATACAGGAGCACCTAGTCAACTCCAGACAAGCTGTTTTAAAGGAGTGTTCCTTCAAAATAATCTACACAA